ACATTTACAGCAGCATTGACATTCTTGGTCTTGAAGGGTCTCCCACCCTGATGAACCCACTCCATAATCGCAGGTGTAGGCTAATCCCTTGAACAGGTGCTGGGGCAGGCCAATAGAACTTGGTGCCCTCAGGGTCTGGGTGTGATGGAGCAGGCTTGTAACCCAATACACAGGAGGTCATGGCAGGAGGGTCATAAGGTTGAGGCTAGCCTCTCAACACAGTGAGACCCTGTCTCAGAAACAAATAAACAATAACAAAGAAAATAAAAAGTAATGAATATCATGTTTCCAGAGCCTTGTACACATCAAAGACTCTATAGGCTTAGGTGGGGTTATGGTCTAAGGGGAAATTAAAACTCCGTGCTACCAACCCTCCCAGTGGGGCCTAAGCCAATTTCTTTCCAACTGTGAACCTATGTTTCCCCATCTGTGAAGAGAAACCAGTCCTATCGAATACTTGAACTTTGTTATTTGCACACCGTCCAGAGACCAGGAACTGAAGGGCTTCAGCGCAGGGGCCCGCTGGGCCTTCTCACTCCTCTGTCTCATCCCACATCTATCTGCTCAGGCTCAGAGAGGTGAAGCTGCCTGTCAAAAGCCACACAGCTTTTAAAATGTGCTTGGGGAGCCGGGTGGTGGTGGCACACACCTTTGATCCCAGCACTCGGGAGGCAGAGGCAGGCAGATCTCTGTGAGTTCGAGGCCGGCCTGGTCTACAGAGTGAGTTCAGGACAGCCAGGGCTACACAGAGAAACCCTGTCTTGAAAAACCAAAGGGGGGGGGATGGGGCCGAGAGGTGACTCAGCTGGCAAAGCACTTGCCATATCATAAGACCCAAGACAGATGCCCAGCACTCTTGAAAAAAGGCAGGCAGGTGTGGGGATGTGCTTGTGAACCCAGCACTGGGGGTAGGGGAGAGAGGAAAAGCTCTGGACTCACTGGATGTCAGTCTGGAACTGACACATGAATACATATGCACGTGTACCCTCACACAGCACACATAATTGAGCATGTGCACACACACACATGCACATTTGAACATGTGTACTACAACTAAACACGCACACACATACACACATGTCATGTAGCTTGAGTCTGATAGAGTGTGGATTTGAACCTTTGACCATCAGACCTAAGTATAGCTTTATACCCTTAGCCTGCATCAGAGGAGGGGCTGGACAGAGAACTGCTGTATCTTACACACACGTGTCAGATAGCATGGTGGAGGAGAGCACCTCCAAGCTCAGAAGCCCCCACCCCCTCTTCTTGGCTTCATTTCTTAAGAAAATGTCAGCTTAGGACTTGTTTGGACCAGGCCAAAGGCCAGCGGGTTATGGGCTCCCATCTGGGCGTATAGATGGCCCCACCCCAGGTAAGATGCACTGAAGGGCAGGGGTGGGGTGGGAGCAGGAGCAGGGAGGGGCCTTCACCCAGGGGCCCTTCAGTGTTTCCCAGGAGAGAGAGTACAGGAAAGACCAGATCGGGGTGGGGATAGAGTGTCTAGTGACGCACCAGAGGACATGTCCAGCTGGAGGACAGGGTGTGGGGAACCACAGGACAAAGACAGGCTGGACAACAGCCAGGCAGCACAGACAGCCCCCCTCGGGTCAAGTCAGGCTTTGTGGTCCATAGTATCACTGAAAATATTTTAAACATGTTAATTGTCATCATTTAAAGACAGTTTTATTTTTGAAATCAGAAATTTCAGTGTCTCTGAACCTTCTGGAAGATCTGAACCCAGATCTCCTGTGGGGATATTGGCTGGAGTACAGCAGGCTGCTTCTATCCCCATCACCCCCTTGTGACAGGCTCTTGGGTCTAGAAGCAGAGCTGAGCTGGGATTCCCAAATCCCAGCACAAGGCCTTCTGGCTGATGATGCCCTCAAAGTGAAGGGACCAGGAGAGACGGAGAGAAGGGAGGTGGGGGGAGGGCTTGCAGGGCTGATGAGACATAAGACCAATGGCTCTGGGCCCTGAGCACCTCCTGGAAGGCGAGAGAATGAGGGGAGCCCCAGTCCATGGTGGGGTGACCACACAGAGCGAGGGGTCAGAAAGCCTCATTTTATCTCTAGGAATGAGGTGGGTTCAGCCTGCTCTTCCTTAAAAACCACACAACCACCTCCTCTGTTCCCATTTGCCGTTCTGCCTGCTGGCTCCCGTGAGAGCAGCTACAGTCATTTCTAAATACTCATTGAGAAAAACAGTCCAACCTTTCGATGCACCAAATATTTGCTTCTCATTAAGAGAGACAGAGGAACAAACAAACAAACAAACAAACAAAAAACCCAAACACCTTTATGTTGGCAACAAGCTCATCCAAAGACTGCAACTGTTTCGGTAGCTGGGGCCAAAACAAATGTTCCTTCCCCAAGGCCAAATGATTCCAGAATGTTTGCAAAATGTTTTTCACTCCTTTAAAAATACAGCAAAATGTACAAAACACTCACATTAAGGAATATTGAAAACAGAAGGGGAGGAAAGCCAAAAGAACAAAATGACAACCTCCTTGTGCCCCTTCCAACTGCTGCATCCAGAGAGCAGCTCTTAATGGCCAGTGCCAGGGGATGGAGGAGCAGTGAGCTCTCTGTCCTGAGAGGTATGCAAGTATCAGAGGTATGCAAGTATCTGCTCAGCATCTCATCCTGATGGGTTCTCTCCAAGAGCCGTCTGACTCTGAAGGATGCCTGCCGTGCTGGAGCTCAGGGTGGAAAGCACAGTGATTCTTGATGGAGATGGTTGGAATCAGGGAGCACTGACCTGCCTAGCTCCATATGGCTGTCTCACTGACCCAGCTGCTGGTCTGTGGTGGGTCTCTGCCCTCTCTTAGATAATATGGGGACAGCATGTTGGTCTGATAGGCAGGGGAGGATGTCAGGGCAGGCCCCCTGTAAGGGGCCAGTTTGAGCTTGGTCTGGAGGACTCCACTGGACAGCAGGTGCTGGGTCACTTGACAGTAGTCCTCAACGAGTGACAAGGATGGCTTGGGCGTATCAGAGAAACTTTGAAGAGGCCCCTGAGGGAAGATGTGGGTAGGTCCAAGAACTAATCTAGCACAGGGGGAGAGCATAGGATGAGGAGTAGCCTTATGTCCTTCAGCTTGCCAGGTCTCTAAAAGCAGAGCAGTGGCGGGTGTTGGGTGGGGACAGTGTACTGGCATCAACTTGGGCTTACCGATGCATACTCACTGTTGGGGTGGGGCATAAAATCTAGGGGGTGTGGAATATCCCACTCCTAATGCCTTCTGGCCCAGGTTCCTTCTGAGGTTCCTCCAGGCCCATGAGGAGCGTGGCAATGAGGTTGGGTGGAAAGGTGTGAGATGGTAGGGCAAGGAGGGGCTGGGATGGATGGATGGATGGATGGATGGGTGGGTGGGTGGGTGGGTGGATAGGTGGGTGGATGGATGGGTGGATAGATGGATGGGTGGAGGGATGGATGGATGGGTGGGTGGGTGGATGGATGGATGGATGGGTGGGTGGATGGGTGCGTGGATAGGTGGGTGGATAGATGGATGGGTGGAGGGATGGATGGGTGAGGGATGGGTGGATGGATGGGTGGATAGACAGATGGGTGGAGGGATGGATGGATGGATGGATGGGTGGGTGGATGGATGGGTGGATAGACGGATGGGTGGATGGATGGATGGTTGGGTGGATAGATGGATGGGTGGAGGGATGGATGGGTGGGTGGATGCATGGGTGGATAGACAGATGGGTGGATGGATGGATGGTTGGGTGGATAGATGGATGGGTGGAGGGATGGATGGGTGGGTGGATGGATGGGTGGATAGACAGATGGGTGGAGGGATGGATGGTTGGGTGGATAGATGGATGGGTGGAGGGATGGATGGGTGGATAGATGGATGGGTGGATAGATGGATGGGTGGATAGATGGATGGGTGGGTGGATAGATGGATGGGTGGAGGGATGGATGGTTGGGTGGATAGATGGATGGGTGGAGGGATGGATGGGTGGATAGATGGATGGGTGGATAGATGGATGGATGGATAGATGGATGGGTGGATAGATGGATGGGTGGGTGGATAGATGGATGGGTGGAGGGATGGATGGATGGGTGGGTGGAGGGGTGGATGGGTGGGTGGAGGGGTGGATGGGTGGGTGGATGGATGGGTGGATAGACGGATGGGTGGATGGATGGATGGGTGGGTGGATGGATGTGTGGATAGACGGATGGGTGGAGGGATGAGTGGGTGGAGGGATGGATGGGTGGATAGATGGATGGGTGGATAGATGGATGGGTGGGTGGATAGATGGGTGGGTGGAGGGATGGATGGGTGGGTGGGTGGATGGGTGGGTGGATAGATGAATGGATGGATGGATGGATGGGTGGAGGGGTGGATGGGTGGGTGGATGGATGGGTGGGTGGGTGGATGGATGGGTGGATAGACGGATGGGTGGAGGGATGAGTGGGTGGAGGGATGGATGGGTGGGTGGGTGGTAAATGAGGAGGGAGGACTCAGTGAATCTGCTGGGTTGAAGGGAAGGTTGAAGGAAGTGACTAGGTGATAGAGGTGGGAGGTCACTCTAATATGCACTGTTGAGCCTCTGGACAGACACGCATGGGAAAGGCAGACAAGATGGTAGACTGTTGGTGGGTGTGCCGGTGAGTGCAAGGGTTAGAGCCTCAATGTCTAGATTACAGGCAGATGAAGGGTGTGGAAAGAGGGCTGGAGGAAAAAGGTGGTAGGTATGCAGTGGAGGAAGAGGATGATGGGCTGCAGGGGCCTGGTGGGCGGGAGGGGCATGTGTGGGTCTGGGTGGGTGGGCTCTGTGTGAGTGGGCTGGTGGGACACTGCTGGGTTGATTGGTGACTGGCAGCTAGCACTGGCTGGGGTTCCACGTGCTGGTGCGTCAGTGGATGGTGGTGGACAGTGCAGTGTGGTGGGTTGATAGGAGCAGGTGGACGCTGGGGCTGGGCCAGAGGTCAACGTGGTAGGGATGGAAGTAGGCCACTGTCAGCAACTTCCGCCTTGTCTCTTTCAGGGCACCAGCCACACATGGGAGACTCCTGGCCACGGAGCTCAGCTCATGAGGCGGCAGAGCTAAACCGTCAGTGCTGGGTCCTGGGGCACTGGGTGTGATGTGACCCCAGCCAGCCCCTGCCTTCCTGCCATCACTGGCACCACCCCTCCCACAGGACATGGAAGCCTGGTCTGTGTGCTGTGGACTCAGCTCTCCTGTCCCGGAGACACCAGGCCTAGACTGCCACCGCTGCCTGGGTCTTGGGGCCCCAGAGACAGGTCAGGCAGGCCTGAGGGACTGTCCAGGCTGCACAGAGACTTGGAGACAGCAGCCACCACCACACTTAAGAGCCCCACCCAGCTGGGAAGTCAGGAAGGACACGGGCATTGACCACTGAATGCTGGATACCCACAGTCAGACACAAAGCCAAGCAGGTGCCCAAAGGGGCAGGGTCCTGTGGGGACACGGAGCAGGGCTTATTGAAGGGGAGGCAGTGGCTGCCTCTGTGGGGGGGTCATACAGCAGGCACACACCTGGGGCTCAATAAATGCTTGTTGAACCTGTTCTCTTGCTATGTGTGGGCTGGCTTCCCCATCATTATCCTGCCCTGGAGGTGTGAGGCCTGGCCACCAAGGTCAGGGTCAACCATCCATCAATGAGCAAGAGTCCAGCCTGGCCTGGGGGAGGTCAGGATGGAGACAGGTGGGCAGAGCTGCCAGGGTCCTGAGCATGGCAGGAGGAACAGACTAGGAGCTGGAGGAAGCACTGTGTTCGGGAACCTCAGCAATGTGACACCACCCTGACCCTGGGGACCCTTTACCCTGTGTCTAGGGCCACTTGACATAAAACTTCTGACTCAGCTGCCAGAGGAAAAATAATTTCTGTCTTGACCATGAGAGCTTGGGGTCCAGAGAGGGAAGTTTCTTGCTTGAGATTAGAGCTGTCATGTGGGAGAGTGAATGTAAACCACACTCAGTCCTGGTTAAATCTCCCAAGAGGCCTCATCCTGCCCTGAAGGATTTCTAGAGATTGACAGAGCAAGGCAGAATGTGGTCTTCTTCATTCATCCACCTGTTACCCATCCACCCACTACCCATCCGTTTAGCCAACATTCACTCACCATCATCTACCCACCCACCCTCTCATCTATCCACCCACTCATCTATCCACCCACTCATCTGTCCATCCACTCATCCATACATGATTCTTCAGTTCATCATCCAGTCACCCGTCATCCATCTATCATTTACCCACCACCCATCCATGGATCATAACCCATTTAGCCAACATCCATCCTATCCACCATATATTCAGGATTCATCCATCCACTCATTCATCCATTTAGCAGCATGTATCTACTCATCACCTATCCAACCATCCATCCTACTCACCCATCTAGCATCCATCCATCTGCCCATCCATCCACTAACCATGAATACATCATCCATATATCTGTCTTCAATTATCCATTCACCCATGATTCAACCATCCATTATCCATCATTGCCATTTCTCTTGTCAATTATCCACTAATTCGTTGGCCATCTTCATCATCTAGCTATGCATCCATCCATCTGTCTGCAAACAGGTGTCTTCTATTGTACTCCTACTGTGTGCCGCACACTGTGGTAGGCCCTTGAGATGGGACGCTGAAGCTTCCAGAGAAGTAGACAAGTAAAGAAATGGGAGATGACAGTTCAGTGCATGCATGCTGGGTGTGGTACCTGCCCTGGAGTCAGACTGCCTAGCATCGGGTCCTGTCTCCTCAGCCCCCGTGGCCTTATCCTGCAGATGAGAGTCTTCACTGTATCTACCTCTTACAGCTGCTGGAGGGCGACACAGACTGGTGCCTGTGAGCACAGGGGGGCAGAGTCTGGATCACAGGAAGCACCCTGACATCATGTCAACAAGGGGAGTTGGGGCTATGGGGCTGAGGCAGCGCCTGTTGGAGACCACCTGAAGGGTAGGTGATCAAGGAAATGACACCCAAGGCATCTTGCTGGTGTCGGGTTGTAGAGGGAAGCACAGGACATGAGAGGGCTTTCAAATGGTCCAAACGACAAGCGTGAAGGAAAAGGAGGGCTGTGAGGGTAGAACCTGGCAGGAGAGAGGACTCAAAGCTTCACAAGGGACCCATAGCTTATCCCGGGACAGCTGGGTGCTCTGTGCAGAGTGGGACTGGCCAAGATGTGTAGTCTAGGAAGTCACCCCAGCTCTGGGCTAGAGCAGATGACTAAGGCAGGACTCCCGTGTCCTTGCAGGGCCCTGAGTGAGAGGAGAGTGCTGTGGCTGAGGAAAGAGGCTTGTGGAGAGTCAGGTAGCCAACTCAGGGGCCAAGAGGAGGGACTGGCATGGGATGAGGATGCAGGAAAAAGGGATTTGAGCTTCAGGTCTCTGTCCTATGTCAGGCTGGGCACCTGGGGGTGAAGAGTGGACCCCACACTTCTGTGTACATGCATGTCTGTGCTGTTACTCTGAGAGCACCTCTCTTCGACTTTGCATTCATACAGTTGGTATGGGGGGCTGTGGCAGAGACGAAGTTGGCCTGGGCAGACTCCTACACAGCTATGAAGGCCCCAGAAGGCTAGCACAGGGAGCTGCGGCATTGGCCTTGTGCAAGTGGGAGCCACTGTGATGGGTCCCGAGCAAGGTCATTGGTCTGGAATCTGGGCCCACCACCAGGAACTTTGTTGGTCTTGATGGTCATCCAGGGCTTTGTGAAGTTGGTCATGGGCCCAAGGAGGCCCAGGAAATGATTTTAGTTGCAAATCTGTCATCTATTTTAATAGCTGTGTTTATGTAAATGTGTATTAGAAAACTGTACGGGCGTGTCCACACACGTGTCAAGCATTGCAGCTTAGAATGAACCACAATAGGCATTTCAGTAAAAAAAAGTTGGCTTAAAGAAAAATACTAAATAAATAATCATGCAAGTGGTCTGTGATTATGGTATGTGGGTGACTGGAATGGGGGCCATCGTCAGGAGGGAAGGAAGGGAGGATGGACACGGGGCCATGAGGCTTCAGGTCCTTCTGGGAAGCGCCTGGAACTCAGCTGTCTTCTAGTACAGCAGGAAGTCTGCTGGTTAGGTAAAAGGAAGCAGTTCCAGGTTAGTGATGTCATGGGTCTCACAGTCACCTTCTTAAGGGCTGTCTTCCTGCTGGGAGTAAACACCACTGTGTGTCCCTCCTGGAGCAACAACCAGGAGGTGCCATCTGGTCTGAAACCTGGGAGAGGCTACAAACCACCCAGAGTCCGGGAAGGGAAGCAGAGGGCTAGTCTGAATGGGCTTAACATCCTTGTTTCACAGCCTGAGCTGGTGGATGCCTATTACCTTCCCAAGTCTGGACCACATCTGGCCACTGAGCTTCAGTAGCTGACCTTGGCCAGGCTGACAGCTCACAGACACCATGCTAGGAAGTGCACAGCATCCATGCCTAGGTCTGGGCACATGACACAACCCCCGCCCCCCAACACACACACTAAGCACTCATACTGGGCCTCCTTGGAGCCTGCAGGCTCCCTGATGCCCTTGCACATGTCTGTCAACTCCGCGGTCCATGAGGGACCCATGGCAGTCTTTCCCTGGCCAAAGCTGATGGGCAGGCTGCAGTCTCCATTTCTTCCCTGGTTTGTGATGAGTGGTCACCCTGCCACCCCACCCCCGCCACAGCACCTGGACCCAGTCACATACTCATCTCCCAGGTAATGGAAATGTCAGCTTGATTCATGGGCCTTTGCTGCCAGGCCTGAGGACAAGGCTGGCAGGAGCTACCGCTGCAAGGAAGTAAAGGCTGCACAAAGCATCCTGATGTGCACTTGGACAGGCCTGGGTGTGACCCCTGCCCTGTCTCAGACTTGTGGCTGGCCCCATCTGAATCACCAGAGGACCAGAGGAGGTGCACACATAGAACGCAGCTGCACACGGTGCTGTCACAGGGAAATAAGATGGAGAAACAGAACATCACAGGAGGTTACCCATGTAACCCCAAACAAGAAAGCCACAGAGTAAGGAGGGTCAAGTGGAAACTTGCAAGGAGCACAGCTCCTGTCCCCTGGCCAGTCTTTATTGGACTACTCTTCACTGTGCTCCCACACTATCACCTTTGCTTTCCTGGAGGACTGTGGCCTGCTGATGGCTGCGGGCCTAGCCGGGCTGGGGGACCAGGAAGAGGTAGGAAGTAAAGGGTCTGAGGCAGGGAGAGGCCAAACTGGTTATAGGGCCACCTGGGGTGAGCCTCTGTTGGGAAGGGACCAAACTAGGTGAGGAGTCTCAGAACTGGTAGAAAGGGGACCATCCTGCCACAAGGTACAGGGGTAGGAGTGGAGTGGAGGGTGGGCATGGCACTCTGTCCTGTCAATGGCTGAGTCACTTTTGGAGCAGTCAACTGAGGCTGAGCACATTCTGGAACTCAGGGGCAGGCAGAAGGGTGGCTTGTTGCCCTGGGAAAGAGTTCCTGCCAGTGTCATCCAGCACCAGGTCTAGGCATCCTGCTCTCAAGCCTGTGCATCATGAAATGATGGTCACTAGGAGACTTAGCTGAGTGTCTCCTGGGAGGAATGCACTGTGAGACCCAAGCTCTGGATGCTGTGACAACTCCTGGAAGGAGGTACCACTGCTGTGCAGTCTGGGTATGGGAGCCTGGGGCTGGGTCTAGACTCCATTGAGGTAACATGGCCAGGGGGTGCTCAGGAGAAGGTGCTTTGGGTTGGGGAATAGAGGATGGTGAAACCTGCACTTGAACCCAGGTCTTCAGGCCCGAGAACCATTACATGGCATGCAATGTGCTGGGAGAAGGGCACCTACAGGAAATGAGGACCAGTGTCCAGCACCCACAGACCCATTTGCCTGGCAGAGGGCCTCAAATATGTTGGCGACCATTAGTTTTGTTGCTGTTATTATGAAATAAGGCTGCCAAGAGCTGCCTTTATGCCAGGGCTGTGAGCCGAGCAGTTTCCAGAGAGGCCTAGAGACCACACATGCAACAGCTGCAATCCAGGAGACAGCCCTGGGCGCTAGTGGACATGAAGGCCTATACAAACTCCTCAGCCTGTAGCAGGTCCTCAGGGCTGGGGCCTCCTTGTGAACATTGCTGCCACAGACCTGCTCCTTCACATGTGCACCCTGCCTTGATCGCCTGGCTGTGTCACATGATCTCCTGGCTGTGAAGAACATGAAAGCCAGCAGAACAAAGGGGCCATGAGGACATCTGACGAGCACTATCCTAGGCCATTTCTCTACCCAGCCTCAATCACCTGGTCTGGGTCTGGGCTGCCACAGTGTGGACACCCTCACTGGCTCCATCACCAGATGAGGCTGCTCTGTACATTCCCACCTGAGGCAGGATCTGGGCCAAGCAGGGTCTAAGGACGGGAGGCTTTCTAGAGAACTGTAGCTGCCTGGGTTTAGATGTTTGCCTCCCTCTTCCTGTCCAAGGGCAACTGACTCCTGATGCCAAGAACCAGCAACACCTCTTCTGAAGTTGGTGGGTAAGGACAGCAGGTGCAAGGATGACCCAGGATCTGAAGCGGCCCCCGATGAAGCCCTGTAGTCAGAGCCCTCTAGGGCGGTCACCCCTGTTCTCCAGTAGTCACCTGAGGATTTATGCATCCATTAATAGCTTCCCAAGCTGCATGTCCTGGGAAGGCTACACAGCCTCTGTGCCCCAGCCCCTCTCTACGTAACATGGATTAAATGGTTAGTGGCCGGTATGTAATGTATGCACCATTTCCTGGGGTCTGTTTATATGCACCATTTCCTGGTGTGGCAGGTGGACTCCACAGAGAAAGTGGGTTCAGGGCCATGTCCCCACCTGAAGGCAGCTCAGACAGGCACATGCATGAGTTTTCAGTAAGCCTCAGATCGACCCTGGCTTAGGGCTGGAGGCAACAAAGGCTCCCTCTAGCTGACCCCATCCGGTGTACCACACTCTATTCTTAATAACATCTTTTATTGATTTTGTAATGAAAAATAGACATTTATTTGAGAGTTAATGCTTGTACCAGTGCCTTCCCTCTGAGATTGCATGGAATATACACTTATAAACACCCACCAAAGGTCTGCAGGGAGCACACCAAGGTCAGTCTTGGGTGTTCCAGAAAAATTCTGTGCCTACCCTGAGGACTAGAAGAAGCTGGGTTCCTGTTAAAGCAGTGGTCCTGGCTTCCTCCTAAGAGCTGGTTTGATGGCCCTCCTGGGAGGTGTGCGGCTCATCTGGGAGTGAGTGGAGGAGCCAGAGGCCGCTGGAGGCTACAGAGATGATGGATTCTCATCAGAGAGGCAATCCTTTCTGCACATCAGCTGGCTTCGAATGAAAACAGCTGCACAGCTGCTGGGTGTTGCCGCTCAGAGGCCTTTGTGATTCTTGGTAGCATCAGAATGTACTGAGTTCGATACCATGGCAGCGGCCCGCTGGGCCCTGAGCCAGGAAAACAACAGATTAATATTTGGAACCAGAAATTACCCACTACTGGGAGACTGATTAGGTCCCTGATCTAAGCTTGTTCTATAGATGTACACACAGGCATGGGGCTCTGGGCTGCAGGGAGAATGGGCAAGCCTGAGCCCAGGCCCTCCAACTCTTGACTTGCATGTGTGTGTGTGTGTGTGTGTGTGTGTGTGTGTGTGTGTGTGTGTGTGTGTGTGTGTGTGTCTGTGTGTGTGTCTGTGATGGGAGGAGAGGCAGGGGCTGAGGGAAGTTTCAGCACTCACTGTAGCTCACTTCCTCTCCTTAGCAGGACAGAGGACAGAGGCCACCTAGGACTAGCCCCATCGGCCTCCAGAGGCACTGAACAGATGAGGAGCTGTGATACTGTGGGCCTTTCAGCATCTGTTGCCCTTAGTGAGCAGGGCTGTGCAGTGAAGGGCATGGGCCCCATGGTCACGTACTGAGTTCTGGGCCTGAGTCAGGGGCTGCCTAGGACTGGGGTGCCACAGGCCCTGCTCTTATGGACCTCACAGGAGAGGACAGAGAGGAACCAAGTATCCCTGGTTCCCAGAAGCAGCCTAGTGTGGCAGGGGGCAGCTACCCTGTTCTTGACTCTTTCCTCTGACCCCTATAGCTCCCAAGACTGTGATTAAAGTCCCTTGTTCCTCCATGCTCTTCCAACCCTTGGGGTCCCAGCTGGCCAACCCTGAAGTATGAGGAACACGGGTCTGTTCAGGGCTGGTGATAGAGCCTAGCCAGCCTGGAGAGGCTCTCCCTCCTGTTCCAGTCAGCATCGCCAACGCCTTGAGGTCTCCTTTTCACGTATGCAGGTTTTGGGGCGTAAGGCTGTGGAAGCAGGACACAGGAGGAATGAGTTACACTGTCCTTGAGAGCAGTCATATACCTGGCTTACCATTCAGGTAGGGGGAGACCTGGCTAGACTGAGTTCTGGGCATCCTTCATGCCCTAGCCCAGGCATGCATGGAGTAGGCTTTACAATGGAACCCATAAGGCCTTTGTCTATGTTACCAGACGTCCTTTAGGACCTAGCTCAAATGCCACCTGTCCCAGGGAGTCCTCCTGGTGTCCTTTCCTGGTTTCCCAGTGTGCCTTGCCCTCCCCTCCTGGCCACAGGGGAGGCCTGCAGCCGGAAGCTGCTTCTCACTCTGAGACAGGCTCTTAGACGGAAAGAGGTGCTGTGCAGGCAGGGCAAGGCCAGTAGACTCTGATGCCTGCTTCCTCTCTACCCAGACCAAGCCTCTGACAGGGATGTGCAGGACACAGACGTGCCACCTACCTGGGTCAGCAGTGCCTGGCTTCCTCCTTGAGGTAGTGATGACCTGGTTTTCATTCATCATCTGTATGTCCTGGTCTTCCTCTGGCTTACTGCAGGAGGAGCAGACAGAAGGCCCATCAGCCTCCAGGTCAGGTCCCTGCCATCCATCCTCATTAGGGCTGACTAGGGGTATACCTGATGGTGTGTTTCTCCTGGTGACAGAAGTCAGTGTCCTCGGCAAAGAGGATGGTGTGGTGGGGCACGGTAGGCTCACATGTGGGCAGGATGCCCCCAACTAGGTGGCTCACCATGGCAAGAATGCCATTGTACACCAGCAAGTCATCCACCAGCAACTGAGGGAGAGAACAGGAATGGGCCCCGCTCCCTCCCACATGTGCCCCACCCCCAGCAGTGTGCCCCTCTGTTGTCCCAAGCCCAAGCTCACTGAAGACTATGTTGACAGTAGGCCCTCCCCCACACTGGCATGAAGGGTAGGTGCTGTCCCCTTGGGCTGCAGCTTTGGAAGCTGAGGCTTCAGTTTCACAGCACTGGGTGACCAAGTGTAGAGATGGAGGCAGACTCAATCTCTGGCCCCCGTGGCTTCTGTCTCTCCATCTGGCCACCCAGTTGCCCCGCAAAGCTGTGTGATTCTAGAGGGAGCCCTGAAAGCAACATCAAGTCCAGGGCCAAGTTCAGGGCTTGCTTTGGATTATTTCAAAACTGTTCTGAATTCACAGCTGGGTGGCAGGTTTCCCTGCTCTGAGGACCAGGCATTTCCAAAGTTGCAACTGAAGACAGACACCGAACTGCAGCAAATGGCAACTGCCCACAGTCTAATCCCCAGAGAGCACAATGACCTCCCACACCAGCTAGTGAGGACTCACACCAAACTCCTTCACCCCTCGTTGAGGTGTTTTCGTGTAATTCCACAGTTTGATCATTGACACAGTGGTGGGCAGATCGAAAATGACATACACCCGGTTCACCTGTCAGAGAGCAAAGCTAATTAAAGCAGCTGTGTTTGGAAACAGAGCTGTGGGCTAGGCCCAGAGCACCAGGGCAGGAAGCTGGCCCAGGTGCCAGTGTCGACACTCCCCATGTGGGAAGTCTCAAGTTCCATGCCTCTTCTCCTCAGAGCCCATTTTGAGTCAAGTCACGTGTGGTTGCGTTTGGAACAAACTGCTGAGCTGGCTCTGGGAGGGCCTGCTGCCTCCTGCTGCTGTGGCCCTCATTTAAATACTGGTCCAGAACTGAGAGCAGCCTGGCCTTCTATTCCTCAGGTCAAGCCCAGGATGGTCCCCACTTGCAGAGCATCTCCCCACCAAACAGCGTGCATGGTCCTGACCCATTTATCCTTTCCCAGAGTTACAGAGGAAAAGCCAGAGTCCTGTGCACTCCAACACCATGGTTTCTTCCAGCCCATGTCTGCTGGGGATACCAAATGGCTAGCGCTCAGCCCCAGATCAGCATGAAATGAACCAATGCAGCAGGCTCAGCAGCACAAAGTCCCCCTCCTCACCTGGAAGGCCAACCAAAGAACTGAGCGTGAGGTGAGACGGCTTGAAGCTCACAATGACCTGGAGACAGTGATGGCTGAGGGGGGCGGGGGGGGAGTCCTGCTCAGACCCTGAGATTCCCACTAGGAGAATGACAGTGGCCAGAGGTGGGCAGTGAACTCCTTCCTGCTTTTGGCTGGGGTCTAAGGGCTACAGGGGCTGTGTGGACCCCTTTGCACAGGTTGGCCCTGTGGTCTTTGGGAGTTGTTTCCTCCTCTGTGTGGAAAATGTCTATCTTATACTCAGTTACAGGAGTGGGAAAGGGACCCCAGATCCCACCACATTCTGCTGACAGGCTCTGACCCTGAGGTGGAGGGTGCTGATGGCCTATACCCTCTCCTGGACCTTCCTCCCTCTCTGCGATGATGGATCAGGCTCACTGCAGGGTTTGAGAGCTGGGAAAGGCAGTCGGTGGTAAGAATGACTGACTTGCTGACTGGGGCCAGAGTGAGGGCAAGGTGGCCACACTGTGGCCATAGGCAGTGATCTAAGGAACAGAAACAGGCAAAGGAGGGGGCAAATGGGGAAGATGCCAGGCTGCAGTGGGTTGCAGAAGCCTTGACCAAAAGAGGCAGAGAGATGCACACGAGGCCAGTTGGTCCTGCCCTCCAGCAACTGTGCAGGGAGCCCTGACTTCAGGCTCCCTGGGGCTCCTCACACCTCTGGCACCTTTTTGACTAAAGTCCACGGAGTCAGAGAAGGAACCGTGAGCCTGGAAGGGCTACACCAGAGCTGGCAGCCACAGCTGGCACCTTTCTGATGGCCCCCAACTGTTTCAGCTGTCACTGGGCACAGGGGCAAGTGCCCCTCCAACCCCAGGGCCAGGTACCCACCAGGCCAGGCAGGATGGGGGCCAGCCACATGTGCCTGCCATCACTGGTGTTGTTGACTTGGTCGATAAGCTTGTCGGGGGTTCGCACGTCCCCGCATACACCCTCAAGTGCATTCACACTGTCCGGGAAGGCGGCGATATCTGAGGGGTAGGTTAAGCTGTCGTAACCCAAACTCATATGCTGTGCACAATGAGTCACCCTCAGGGCCGCTGTCAGGCTGTCAGCCCTGTGTCTCAGGAGATGCTGGGCTGGCGTCCTACACTTTTGCAGGCTGGGAAATGACAGTGAAAATAGATGCATTCTATTTTCTAAGAAAGCGGGGTTGTGGCCAAGGGGAAGGGACTCTGTGTGGGGCTAAGGGGTCAAGTTTAAAGTCAGGGACCACAGGTGGGATGGCTGGAAGTGAGGGGTTTGCTGAAGCACAGATAGGGATTATAGTGCTGCCACTGCTCTGAAGCACAGGTCACACGCACTTGGGCAGGCAGGTGACTCTGGCAGGTCACAGCCTTGTCAGGTCTGTCACCCTGGCCCAACAAGAGCTGATTAGAGCAGGGACCTCAATGTGCGTGTGCAGAATCGGGGTCCAGTTCTGTCACTGTGACAGAGGAAATCTCTGTCAGGAAATCTCAGGTGAGCCACTGGGCACCACTTATCCGGCCACCTCATCTGGGACAGGGGCCAAAAACTTCTATGCTCTGAGATGGGCAGAAGTCAGAGGACACTGGCTGTGAGCACTCTTGGTGACATTAGTGGAGCATACAGACCCAGGAGCCATTCACGAAGTTATGAGGAGGACAATAACTCCAGAGACACCCAGGACCCCAGGCAGACACAGGACAAGCTTTGGGGCTGTGCTGGCATTTCCCGACCTGGAGGGCCAGAGATCACACACTCAAGGATGCTACTGCTAAGCACGTGACAAAGAAGACAGGCAACAGAATTCAAAGCTTTACAACTGGGCTGTGTGACCTCAGGTAAACAGGTCTCCAGCTCTTCCTCTGGACAATGAGGACTCCAGAATATTCTGTTCACAAGATTTCTGTGGGTGCATGGGGCATATTCCTGCAGGGCATATTCCTGGCACACAAGAAGCCCTCGGGAAGCACTGAGTTTGGGGGGCTGATAGACAACAAGAACTTCAGGAGTCAGCACTGGGGAAAACTGAAAAGGCGTCCATGAGGTTTAGTCACTGTAACTCCACATGACCAAGGGCCTCGCATTGGCACTTCTCAAGTTAAGTTCCAGAGGCTGGTATTGCATTAAAATTATCTATGACCTCTGGATAATTGAGACAGTTGATTAGCTTGATCTGTTTGGGAGGCATCCAGGCAGTGGGACCGGGTCCTGTACTCAGTGCATGAGTTGGCTGTTTGAAACCTGGGGCTTATACAGGGACACTTGGCTCAGCCTGGGAGGAGGGGACTGGACCTGCCTGAACTGAATCTACCAGGTTGAACTCAATCCCCAGGGGAGTCTTTGCCCTGGAGGAGATGGGAATGGGGGGGGGGGGCTGGGGGGAAGGCGGGGGGGGCAGGAGGGGGGGAGAACAAGGGAATCCATGGCTGATATGTAGAATTAAATTAAATTATAAAATAAAAAAAAGAATCAAAAAATATCTATGACCAAACTGAAATCTTTCAGAACTCCCTGGACCAATCAACAGGTCCAGCATGGGCACACCATGAACAAAGGGTCCCCCAGTAATACACTCCTCTCCCACTGAGTTCTCCTGCAGACTCTGTCAGAGGCTTTTTAGAATACCAGGTGCCTGTGCCCTCTGAGAAGGGCCTGTGCTGAGCAGGGATCTCCTCACACTCTCAACCATGGGACTCTGGTCTGCAGAGAACCAGTTATAGTGGCCTTGGCAAGCATGGCTAAGAGCAGCTCTAAGGGTCCAGTGGCATCATACCATACCGTCATAACCATCACCCACCACCACCACCACATTATTATAACTACCATAATTAACATCACCACAACCATCATTATCATCACCACCACCACCATCATCAGTCACCATCACTATCATCATCAATCACCATCACCATCATCACCATCATCACCACCAGCATCAGATCTTCCATTTTGTTTTGTGACATGGCAGTTCAGACCGGCTCAAACTCACAGCTATCTGCCTGTCTCTGCCTCATGAGTGCTAGGATTAAAGGCGTGCACCACCATGTCTGACTATCATCTGCTCTTTTGAAATAGGGCCTTGCTATGTAGTTCAGGCTGCCCTCAAAACCATGCTGGCCGCACACAGGCAAAAATCCTTCTGCCTCCACCTCCTGAGTGCTAGAATTACAGACTTGGGATCCTGCACCCGTCTCCCAGCAGCTTTTTCCATGCCGGCTCCTGCTCCCAGCAGAAAGGATACTGTTCTGGGACAATGGGATCCTCTCCCCATGCTCATCGTACAGCTCCAGCCCTGTGAGGCCGATGTAGTAGGGGTCACCCCAGCTGGACAGCAGCTGGAACTGGAAAATGACTGTGGCGGTGGTTAAGGAAGAGAAAAGAAAGCCACAGAGTGGCAGAGGTGACAGGGGCTCTTCTTGTTTGTTGACGGAAGAGTCTCTCTCCCAGAGATGGTTTTCTGTCAAAAGGAACACAGCATCACATTCGCCACACCACCTGCCCTGGGAGTGGACAAGAAGGAATAGTCCTAGGACGGACAAGGCGAGCAGATGGTGCTGGGTGGGACACTCCTGTCTCATGCCTCAGTTTCCCTGGTTATAAAATGATTAGAACGAGAAATCTCTTCCCTCCTCTGTGTCTTTCAAGTTCATGGGAACAAGCATGTTAGGGGTGGGTGGGGAAACAGCCTCAGATCTGGCTGCAGCAGAATGATTCCTACTGACAAGGTCCATATGCATAAGGCGATACCTGCCCACCCTTGATTTGATCTTCCCAGTGCCAGTTTCTAGGAGCAGGAGTGGAAGAGGTTCTGAGAGCCCAGGCACATGCCAGGCAGCCACAGGCAAAGGCACTGCTTCCTTCCGGATCTAGACCCCTCCGAGAGATCAGGGCAGGTTAGTTGACCTCTCTGATTGCTTCTTTTGTTTTTTTGTTTTTAGCTTTTGGCTTTCCTTTTTCTCTTTTTTAAAGAGACAGCGTCTCACTGCATAGTTCAAGATGGTCTAGTACTCATGATCCTCCTGCCTCCAGCATGCCCGGCTCCTGTGATTAGTTTTCATGGCTGGGAAGAGGGGCTGCCATTGCAGCCTGCTCCCAGGGCTGATGCAATGAGGTGACACTAGGAAGGAGGGCTCTTGCTGCCTCTGCCCTTGCCTTCTCCCTGCCAGGTCCCTGGGTCACCTGTCTCTTTTCCAGTCCCTCTCAGCTGGGTCCTTTGTGCCACCTCCACAACCCGTCTTTCAGGAGGTGATGGGACCCGTGCTGCTGCCTTCCTTAGCTTTGCTAGCTACACTGGAACATGCAGCACTCCAGCTGCCTAGGGGAAGGATACAGCCACAGGGCATGAGTGGGGCCTCGTAGTCCATGCTGGCTCGCTCCAGGCTCTTTGAATCCAGCCTGGAAAGAGATTGAAACAGCACCATGAGCCCTTCTGTTCCAGGGTCATCAAGAGACACTCTTCAGCCATGGACTGAAGATACAGCAGTGCAGGGGCTCCTGTGTGAGCTCCCCTTTGCCCAGGGGATGCATGTGTGGGCGGCAGTGGGGGACCCAGCTCCTTTCTGTTACAGACCCTTGCAATCCTCAGAGTAGCCCAGAGGTGGGGACACATGGATGCAGACACCTGGACAGAGTGGGGAAGCCACTTGGAAAAGCCACATAGCTGGCGGGTGCTTGAGTGGGATGTGCCTCTGGGGTCACTCTCTCAACCACACCCTTGCTCTCCTACAGGAGCAGTCTGCTAGGCTGAGGGCTAGGTGCTGCTGATGGGGCAGGGTGCGGGAGTGTGACAGGCCATTTGGATGAATACAGGTCAGAGGAGGCCTCTCACAGCAGTCAAGCTGGGCATAGCAAAGGCCCTGGAATGTAGGCAGGATGAGGACAAGAAGAGAAAAGAAACAGAGGGGAAGCCCTGAGCACTGTCGGCTTCACGATCCCCAGTCCAGGCCTCAGTTTCCACTCTGTGAAATAGGTATAAAATTCCAGCTTCCAAATGCAGATTCTAAGAGACAGGAAGATCTCTGTGAGTTCAAGGCCAGCCTAATCTACATAGTGAGTTCTAGGCTGGCCAGGGCTAGAGACAACTATGACACTGCCCTCCCTCCACTTCTCTATTCCCTTCTTGTGCTATGCTGCACAAGGATACGATTACAGTTTTGCCACTGGGGAAGGGAGCTCTTTTACTTCTCTATTGTGGCCTTTGGTGCTCAGACATTGGGAGCTGTAAATGGGTAAAACTTACTCGGTTTACACTTTGATGCTGGAGACCAGGCCAGGACATCCTGGCAAACCCAAATGAGAGTTTCCCACCTGCTCTTTTTCTGGACTGGGGCTGGGGAAGAGGAGTCGTTTCTGGAGAACACATGTGGCTGCAGCTCCAGCCCTGAGGGTGCACACACAAAGGACACTGGTGGCCCAGTCCATACTCCCTCACCTCCTGGTGGGTGCTGGTGACAGCCGGGTCTGCAAGTAGTCCCCAAAGAGGATTTCTTGTGCAAAATCAAAGTGGCAATTGCCAGGTCCCTTTCGGATAAGAAAGCCTTCTGCAGGAGACACGCACAAGCCATCCAGGGACACATGGGCGATTTTGACCTAGCAAAGGAGACACAGCTTGCCTGAGGCCTAAGACAGTGGATGGCTTTTCTACCACGCCAGCCTGGCCTGAGTTCCAGGGACAGTCATGTTCCATTTCGGACACAATGCTAGGGCGGGCACAAGATACCTGGAGTAAGGCCCCTGCCCAAAGGATACTTACCTGTGCTTCCTATCCATGTGTCTCAGTCCCAGGGGAGGCATGGGACTTGGTGGGGGACCCCAGGCAGCAGTGGCAGTAGCCTGTGGCAGTATGGTGAGATGGTCAAGGGCACTAGCTCAGGAGCACAACCTCTGCCTCCAGTGCTGTGTAGACCTCCAGCCTCCCTTCATCTCCCTTCCCACCTGGGAGAGGGGCACAACCTCCATCTTTCTGGGTACATAACAGAGACCCAGCTGGTCCCTCTGACAGGTAGTGGCACTGTGCTCACTGAGAGCTTGCACACACACATATACACACACATACACACACACACACACACACACACACACACACACACACACACACACACACACACGTGCACACACTGTCCAGGCAGGAATTTTCTAGCCGTGCTGCTGGGGTCCACCAGCAAACTGTAAAGGCTACAAGCATTCTGAGGCTACCTGCCACCTCTGCCTTTCCACCAGCATGAAAGAGAGTGTGGCTTCTGTGCTTGACAGACTGAGACCAGACTCTAGCTGTGTAGTTCCCAAGACAGTGGCAACCCTCTCCCAGCCTTCCTTAGAATCCTGAGAGGCGGGGCACTTAGGGAGGCAGGGTGGGAACCTGATGAGATGAGGAAGGCACACATTGCCTCATAGCACCCTCCCCGGCGCTCAATGGACAGCAGGCCCAGAGGCGACACTAAACCCTGGACTGTGTGGGAAGGGGACCCACAGTCACAGAAGAAGCAAGCCCTCCCTGCAGTTCCCCAGGCTGCCCTGGGCTGTGGGCTAGGTCTGCTGTGTGCAAAAGGAAACACAGCTTGTTCTCTCCCTGGATGTCACCCCTTCCCGCCCTCCCCCCACCCCCCATTTGAAAGGTTCTGGAGGATTTATGCTCCTCTCCAGCACCCACACCAGCCATTCATCATGCTGCCTCCCTGACAGTGGACTCCGCTCTGCCCAGCTTACCCCTCGGTAGGTGTCCTCGGGAGATTTATTGTAGTTCCAGAGGCGCAGGCCAGCAATGCTTTGGGCTCTGTCAAAGTGGATCCTAACCACATGGTCCAACCCAGGGGAAAAGGGGATCAGCCACATGTGCTCATCCTCGGTGGTGATGTTCATGCCGTCAATTAACCTGCAGGCAACGAGGACAGATCAGCAAGATGGTGGGAGGTCTCCAGAAGGCCCGCTTTCCTCACCCACCCGTGTCTTGGGAGGTGGGTGAACAGTGAAGTCAAGCAATGATATTTCAGAAGCAGTAAAAACAGTTTATGCTCATCAAGGTGCTGAGAGGCACTCATCCTCACCAGGCTAACAGACAGGTGTGTCCCCCTTGGGAATCCCTCAGCCCAGGGACCCCAGGGTGGGAAACTTGTGCTAATGACTACTGTTCCTCACACTAGGAAGGCTGGCTGTGGAAATAAGCTCTTCACAGCTGTGATGCAGGTACTCTAGGATGTGCCGTGGCTAACAGGAAAAACGACACTCATGAGGTGAGTTTTGGCCAGGCAGGCAGACCACGGGCAGCAGGGACCAACTCACGCTGGCAGTGAGGTCATGACCTTGGCGTCAGTGCTCAGAAGGGGTGCCCTGGGGTGGGAGGTGGACTTTCTCTCTATTGTCCCAGTGTTCTGAAAGATGTAGGGGTACAGTTGAGGGAAGTGCATCCCAGCTCTTTTGGTGAGGTCTCCAAAACACGAGGAACCCAGGCAGACCTAGGCCAGGGACTAGTGCCAGAAGAGGCAGGTGGCTCCGTACTTGTGTTGAGCCCAACCTGCTTGGTTAGCCCCAGGTCTAAGTGCCCCAGGAAACCCCAGCCAGCAGCAAGGCTTTCCTAATCGGTTACCTCAGCCCCACTGCATCTGTCCCTGCCTCAGTCTCTTCAGTCTGGACCCAACCTTTGTCCTTTGAGTGGCATGGCCACTTGAAGACCTGGCCCCAGAGACAATTGGCCCCGCCCCACACCACCTTTAGACCCTTGGGGGGCCACTGTCCTGTGAGTAACTCAGGCTGTGGACACAATTCCTTTATCTAAACTCAACTTTTCCCCTTACTGTTTGATAGTTTGAGGTTTAGAATAAATCTAAGTGTTCATCCACGGAGGTAAAGCGTTCTCTCTCCTGTGCTCTAAAAGGCTGTTATTAAATTGATGGATGGTGTGTCTTACAATTGCTGGCATGTTAAAAACTGAGGAAATTCGGCAGGCCAACCCTGCTGTTTGTGAAGGAAGCTGGCTGCTGCGGGACTGCTGTTTCCTTCCAAAGCAATTACCTCCGTCTTGGAGACTGGCCGCCAGAAAGACTGCTGCAGGCTTTGGGGAGAGGGGGACACCGAAGATGGATTGGCAGAGAGGCTGGTAGCAAAAGAAGCCTCCTCCCTGGGCAGTCACCTGGTTCTGTCCTGAGACACCCAGTAGTAACAAGCCTCCTTCACGCTAGATCGGGGTCTCTAAACAGTATGGCTACCACTAGGACCCTGTCATTGCAGGGATATGGTGGAGGCCAGGTTGGGGCAAGAGGGACAAGAAGGGCCTGGGCCATCCTGTCATATCAGAAGGCTGAGGAGGGTGGGCACTGGGTAGTAAATGCTTGCCCTCCATGCCAAAGGCTCTGGGTTCCATCCCCAGAACTTCAAACAAATGAAAATAAATATTGCAAACAAATACATAAATGGACACAGGCACTCCCAGAATCTGAGACCATCAGCAAGGATAAAATCAGAAGAGATGGCTTAAGGACAGCCCCCATGCCCCAGCAGTGGATGGCCAACACCCATGCCCAGCAGTAGATGGCCAGCACCCATGCCCAGCAGTAGATGGCCAGCACCCATGCCCAGCAGGGGGATGGCCAGCACCCATGCCCAGCAGTGGATGGCCAACACCCCATGCCCAGCAGTGGATGGCCAGCACCCATGCCCAGCAGTGGATGGCCAGCACCCCATGCCCAGCAGTGGATGGGCCAGCACCCATGCCCAGCAGTGGATGGCCAGCACCCATGCCCAGCAGTGGATGGCCAACACCCATGCCCAGCAGTGGATGGCCAGCACCCATGCCCAGAAGTGGATGGCCAGCACCCATGCCCAGCAGTGGATGGCCAGCCACCCATGCCCAGCAGTGGATGGCCAGCACCCATGCCCAGCAGTGGATGGCCAGCACCCATGCCCAGCAGTGGATGGCCAACAGAAAACAAACTCAATGTAGTCTTTGGAGGTTCTCTGGCTCATGTTTTGTCAGGGTTGGGCTTTTGTTTGTTTTGTTTTTTTAAACTTGCAGGTCCTTTGTGTATATGTTATGGCTTCCAGTTGTCTTTTATAGGATTCCTGTGTGTGAATGTGTATGGCTCTGTATCTACACGACATTCTTATGCTTTTCTTTGGCTCTTCTGTTTGTTTATTTTGTCCTGTTCCTATTTGTTTGTTTTTGTTTTATTATTTTATTATTATTCTTTAGATCCCGATTTGTTTCCTAAGGAGAGACAAAAAGGGTGTAGATCCGGATGGGAAGGGAGGTGGGGAGGAACTCAGAGGAGTTGGGGGAGGGGAACCATAAACAGAATGTATTGAATGAAAAAAATCTTGTCTTGTTTTTGTTTGTCAAGAAAGGTTTCTCTCCGTAGCCCTGGCTGTCCTGGAACTCACTCTGTAGACCAGACTGGCCTCGAACTCAGAGATCTGCCTCTGGAGTGCTGAGATTAAAGACATGTACTACCACACCTAGCTGAAAAAAATCTGTTTTCAATAAAAGAAAAACATACAAACAAGCAAACAAACAAACACCAGAGGAGATGAGTGGGTAGCATGCTTCTGTAATCCCAGCACTTGGACCTGAAGCAGGAGATCTTGAAGTCTGGTTGGTACACACTGAGACACTCTGTCTTAGAAAATAGTACCATGAGTGGCGGAGGGGCACTCCTCCAGAATGAAGAGAGCTTATAGAATGGGAAAAATGTTTATCAGTTACATATAAGACAGGATTAATATCAACATACATAAATAACAAAAATCAAACACCCTAAACCCAAGACATCCAATCAATAAATGGACTAATGAAGTGAGTAGACAATTCTCAAGAGAAGAGATACAAATGGCCAACAAATATTTGAAAAAACATTCAGCATCCCTAATGACCAGGGAAAACTGCTTTGAGAATCTATCTCGCCCCACAAAGAAAACAAATGACAACCAAAGCTGGGGAGAATGTGGGGAAAGAAGGTCCCTCATTCCTGCTGTTAGGAGTCATAGAAATCATTATAGAGGTCTCTCAAAACCCTGAAAATAGACCTACCATATGACCAAGCTGTAAGTCTCCCAGGTATATACCCAAAGTCAGCATACCAAGAAATACTTGCATATTCATGTTTACTGCTGCAGCATATATGGGCAGGAAATGGACTGAGTCTAGATGTCCACCATAGATGAATGGGTAAAGTAACCTGGTGCATCCATAAAGAAAAATGTAACCATCATGGCATATGCAGGAAAAAAGACACAACTAGGAATGTTAAGAGAAACAAGCCAGACTAAGACAAATGCTGTGTGTTTTCTCAAATATGGAGCCTAAACCTTACATTATGTATCGGGGTACCTGTGCATTTATATCAAAAAACTAGAAAGGGAATTGCTGGAGGAAGGGAGAGGTCTTAAGATGGGGATAGAAGCATAATGGGACACTGAAAATAGGGCGGCAGAAGTGACTTAGCTGGGAGAAGAAAGGAAGCTAACTGGAGAGGGGACAGGGAAGGATAGTCAGGGAGGGGACGAGTAAGAACAAGTGCAATGGTGTGTGTGTGTGAAGTTGCCCTAATGAAACATGTTGCTTTGTAGTCTAACCTAAAAAATAAAAATAAGTGAAGGGAAATGAGACAATGAGAAAAGGAAGTCCCCTGAAGCTCGAGGACTTCTCAGCCAGTGGCACACATTTCTACCTGGACCACTACTCACAGATGAAGGTGTGACAAGGACATTGAAGGGTGTTTGCATTGTCAAGTACTTCCTGATTAGAGATATGCACTGAAGTGTTTCAAGACGACATTATGATTGGGCAGGAGGCTGTCAGGATTTCTGTGGGGTAGCAACTGGGTGACAGGGATGCACACTCTGGGCAGGTATGAGTTTCTCCTGCTGCTGGCCAGGAGTAGCTTGTAGGCTCAGGTCTAGGTCCTCCAGTTGACCTATCAGGATCTACAGGCCAGGGTGGCCCCAAGCAGTCAGTGCCAGGAAGGGATGAAGTCCACAGTGAAGGGCCACCATAAAGGACACAGCCAGGGCAGGGGGCTGCAATGTTATCACCCTACTCCCAACCTGTAATCATGAGGATTATTTCTACAGTTCTATGGATGGAGAAACTGAGCCATAGGAGACGCCTAACTCAGCAGGTAAGTGTATCCCGGGCTAGAATATCCTGTGGTTTGTGTTCAAATCATGACTCCACTTAACCAGTCTGGGTACCTGGGGCCACTTCCTGACATCAGCTTCCTCCTCTATACATAGGGACAACATCAATGATTCTTAGTCTGTTAGTCGCTTTCATGGATGGACACCTGCAATCTCCTAACAGCCCAGTGCCTGGCACTTAATACTCCAAAATGGCACCTGCACTTCTGGCTATGTTGACCTCACTGTCACAGCTGTGAGGTCAGGAAGCTTAAAGAGCTTTGAACTCCCATCCCTCAAACGCTCCTTGACTCTTAGTTAATTCACATAGCTGTTGTACTGGCTGGGTTTGTGTGTCATCAGAGAGGAAGGAGCCTTAGTTGAGGAAATGCCTCATGAGATCCAGCTGTAAGGCATTTTCTTAATTAGTGACCAATGTGTAACAGCCCAGCCAATTGTGCGTGGTACCATCCCCTGGGCTGGTGGTTCTGGGTTCTATAAGAAAGCAGGCTGAGCGGGCCAGGGGAAGCAAGCCAGTACGCAGCACCCTTCCATGGCTTCTGCATCAGCTCCTGCCTCCAGGTTCCTGCCCTGATTGAGTTCCTCCTGACTTCCTTTGATGATAAACAGAAATTTTAACCCTTTCCTCCCCAACTTCCTTTTTGGTCATGGTGTTTCTTTGCAGCAATAGAAACCCTAACTAAGACAGCTGTCCAGAGCAGGAGGGGAAGTGCCAGTCTACGAGTGACAGGTACTGTGGATGGATGCTATAAAAAGCTTGTCCATTCAGCCTGGTCTTGGTATCCAGAATGTGTAGGAAGCAGAGCAGCCATAGTCACCTGCAGAGACTGTCTTTTCACTTTCCAGTTTACAGAGGGGAGAGGCCTAGGCAGGCATGTGCAAAGCAGAGTGGGTCACACCGAGGCTGACAACTATGGCTGAGCGAGGCCCTAGCTGATGCCAGTGTGATATCCCAGCATGCAGCATCTGAGCTACACCAGCCCGACTTTGCAAGCTGCCTGCCCCTCAACAGGGGTCCCGTGTACAAAGGGCCACCTCTATTTCTTTTGGCTACATACCTTCCCAGGCAGTGTCTGATGTGTGCCTGATGCCTGGAACACAGAGCATGTCCCTTGACCCCGACTGCCACAGTCAAGCTTCTCCTACTTACTTGTCTAGGGTTCGGGAGTCATCAGTGTACTCCGGCAGGTCATTTAGGTCCCTGGGAGAGGCAGAGAGCTGGTGCGGGTGGATGGGCAGGGCCTGGCCATCCTTGCCCACGACTTCCAGGCCAGTGAGCCCTATGTAGTGCAGGTCCCCCCAGGAGGCTGTGAAGTTAAGGCGGAGGCCTGTGAGGGAAGGAAAGCAGCCAGTCACCACCAGAGGCTCTGGAGCCAGAAAAGAGCTGCCCTTCAGCCTCTCCACTCTCCCCTCATGAACCTTCTCTCTCAGGAGTCTTCAGGCCCAGACCACTGCCTACTCAGGACATAGCAGGCAGGAAACCCACACATGGCTGGGCCACCTCACACCATGCTTTGTGCCCTGTGAACTCCCTCGTGCTGTTTCACACTACAGTGTTCCTCTCCTGACTTCTAACTCCCCCTTGGTTCTACCCAGATGATTTTCCAAGTGTTCGTTTTTCTAGGCCTTTCTTCTACCGCAAGGCCCTTGCACATGCTGTTTCTGGTCTCTGGACTGTGCTCACAGCCTATCATGTCTCTGTATACTTCCTCTACCAAACTCTGGAGGCCACTACTTAGTAAATGCCCACGTGACCTGCCAGGTGCTAACTCCTTAAGGGAATGACCCCACTTGTTTTTCTAGACTATTATGTACCCACATACTGGCACAGTGCCTGGCATATAGTGGAGGCTCAGTGCCAGTGAATGCCTGACAGTAACTAAATGAGACAGTCACACCAGAACTGGACATTTTATGCAAATGGACTCCTCCTAGGAGCCCTCACTGCATTCAGGGTAAGGGAAGTGGCTGCTGACCCCATCTTTCCACCTCAGCTTTCACCCTACTTCACCAGAGACCATATCAGGAGACCTCCTGTGGCCCTGGGACACTGATGCCAGGTGACTCATTCCATTGCCCAGAAAGGTCCCCTTCTCTGGGTCTCTGGGTCACACCCTGTCACCCTGTCATATACTTGGCTGGAGTTCCTCCTTTCCCAGTAGAGCAGGGCCAAGCTCAGGGGCAATCCAACCATGGAGGTATCTGACCCGTTTTAATACCTGCCTGAGCTCTGAAGTTCAGCTCTTTGGGCTTCTGAATGACAGCATGGTGGGTGGATCTGGCAGAAAGCCTGGGTCATGAGGTGCTCCATATTTCTTACAGGAGAATCTGTGAGCCCAGCAAACTTCCAGAACACCCTGGGGGCCAGGCTGCAACCTCTCACCTCCCTGAACTCGACATCTTGTCCTGAGCCCTGTCATTTTCCAGCATCCTTTTGGTGACTCAGCCTTCAAACTTCCTCTCTGTGGTGCCGAAGTCAGCCTGAGCATCCAGGGGGCAGATGAGGACTTGGGTTCTAAGGAGCACTGAGCAGACTGCTCGTTATGTTCACATACCCTCCAGGGTGTGGAGCAAGTCAAGCTGGCTGCCCCTCTGGCCTGTGGCCCTGCCACTTTCCCACAGAGGTGGGCCAGCTTCTCCACTCTGAGTCTGGGCTGCAGAGTAGAATGTGGGCACAGCAGGCTGCCTCCTCTTCCTGTCCTGCACTGATGCCAAGGAAGCTCAGTCACCTGTTGCTCTGGCCAGTAGCAGCACATGCACGCAGTTGCTGGTCCACGTGCTGGCTGTTCAGAGGCATGAGCAGGCCAAGGGAGAACACCTGAGTGGCTCAGAATCATTGCCAGCACTGATGCCTGGATTAATTTAAGCTGTAAGAACAGTTAGCAAGAAGCCTGCCATGGCCATACAGTTTGTAACCAGTATAAGTCTCTGTGTTTACTTGGTCGGGTCTGAGTGGCTGTGGGACTGGCGGGTGACAGAGATTTGTCCTGACTGTGGGCCAGGCAGGAAAACTCCAACTATAGATGCCTGCAGAGCACTGCCTCCAGGCGCTCCACTGTGGATTTGTTCTGCAGCAAAAGCTGACTGATATAGTCCTTCTACTGGTCATGTTCAAATGGCATCTCTCGGCGATCTCCTGACAGTGCCCCCCACTCTCCTGCCCTTGTTCCACTTGTTTCCATCCTAACCTCAAGAGGTAGTCTGCATTAGTGCGCTTGTTGATTTCCTTGAGGCCAGCACTGACTGTTCTATCCTCAGAGCTAGAACAGCAGTGTCCAACAAATAGATGCTTAATCGAATTTTGTTTTGAAACCTCTGATTGATAGAAAAGTAGGTGGGTGGTCAGTGGATATGTCTTCCCTAATTTATAGTGAATGATAAACGAATACTCACTGATCGTCTGTATGTGCCAACTGTGGTTTTAGAAGTAGAGATGTGAGGGAAATAAGAGTGAGTCTCAGCGTGAGCAGTGCTCATTTAGCAGTCAATAGACACCTGGCAAATGCTGCGTACCACAGCTGTACACCGCTGCATGCCCAATCAGAAGGATGGGATGGGGTGGAGTGTGGCAGAGTAGGAACAGGGTATTTAGGGAGGGGAGGTGGCATCTGGGCTGGGACCTGCATGCAGGAAGAGGCATGCTATGTTGCACTTCTAAAGAACATTCTAGATTGAGAGAACAAGTTGGGCCTACATGTGAAAGCAGCTGGCCAAGGGAGGAGAGGAGTAAGACTAGAAAAGGAGGCAGGGCTCAATCCCACGTGGAAGCTGAGATGTTGATGACATAGCAACGGGAAGTTACAACAGGTTACTTTTTCTGTTTGCTTTGCTGAGATAAGATCTCTCTTTGTGATCTAGAATGGCCTCGGAACCAGTGATCCTCCAGGCTTAGCCTCCCGAGTACTGGGACTGCAGGTGTGCACCACCATGGTGGCCTATACATGGCACCAGGACAGTGGTGTGGGCCGAACTGTGTCTTGGAAGGACTTCAGCACGACTGTAAAGGGAGCCAGGCAGGGAAGACACTGGTGCTGAGAGTGACCTCATCGAGGGTGGTCACAGTGGGAGAGGGCAAGGTCTGCTTAGGAGGCAATGGAGCCCAATGGTTTGAACATAGAAGGACAAGAAGGGATTGATCCAGGTGACAGGGTGGGGTGGGGAGTATCTGGGATGGAGAAGGCCCGGATGGGGAGGGAGTAAATTGTGAAGGGAGGGACAGGGAGAGGTGGAAATGCCACCTCTCCCTGGTAACGAGCCTTTCCCATGCCTGCAGTCCCTTTGTGTCTGGCAAGAGGCACCTGATCGCATTGATCCAGGACTCTGAATGCAACGGCTCTCCTTGTGAGCTGATATCCATGTTCCATATTCATTTTCCTTGCGTGCATCAATTAGTATTTATACAAATGGAAATTAATTTTGTTATTTCTCTCATGCTCTGGCCCTCTCGACTTCTTCCCTATTCATCGTGGCTGATATTTGCAAAACTTCCCAAATGAGTGTCATCTGCAAATTAGCAAGTCATAGATTCCCTTTCAAAGCAAGAGGATTGGCCACGTTTACCCACTGCTGCCCCCCTTCCCCGCCCCAGGACTGCTTTATTAAAGTGCACACATTGCTGAGCAGGTGGAGGATGGAATGGGATGGGGGTTAGAGAGAAGAGATGTAGGAACCCTGGAGCTCTAGGCTCAAGTGGGAGGGAATGACCCAGCGGAGAGGTCTAATGCTTTCCTAGCAGGTACAAAGTTCAAAAGTCACAGTGTTCTACTCCAGGGCCAACCTCCCCAGCCACTGCAGTGGCATTTCTGAGAAAGACTGGGTTGGTTCAGTGCAAAGGACATTGGTAAACAGCCTTTGGGATAAACTAGCGGGTAGACAGGACAGTGGTGCCTTCTGCCTGGCAGCACCTGCACCTGCCTTCCTCTTCCAGGGAGACGTCCTGGCTCAGCAAGGTTGTCTGTGCAGCTGACCACTCTTAACCAGGCTACAGGGACAGCCAACAACCCAAGTCTGGCCAGATATGGTTTTCATATCTCCTACCTGTCCATCTCCACCATGGTGAGGCACATAATTGATTTATGGACAGGCCTGAGACACAAGCTAGACCCAGAGAATTAATTCTGGAGCTATATCTGGGCAATAGAAGTGGCGTCAGCTCTGGGGTTGCTAGTAATGGGTAGATATGAGCACAAGGCCCTGGTGCATGGCCCACCCATGAGCCCCTGGTGCATGGCCCTCCCATCATAAGACCCTGGTGCACGGCCCTCCCATGAGACCCTGGTGCATGGCCCTCCCATCATGAGACCCTGGTGCACGGCCCTCCCATGAGACCCTGGTGCATGGCCCCCATGAGGAAGAACAGGAAGCAAACAGGGTAGAAAAACAGACAGCAAGTCTCCATGGTACCATTTCCCTGCCTACATCCAGTTGCCTAAGAAACTAGTGACCCTAACTTCTAGGTGCATAAACCAATAAATTTTCTTTTACTGACTTCAGCTTGAATTCAATTTCCATTGTTCTCGTGTGTGTGTGTGTGTGTGTGTGTGTGTGTGTGTGTGTGTGTGTGTATGTATGTGTGTGTGTGTGTGTGTGTGTGTGTGTGTGTGTGTGTGTGTGTGCCTGTATATTAGGGTATGTGTGCATGTGGGAACCAGAGGAAAACCTTGGGTGTCGTTCTTCCTCACTGGGTCCTGGAGCACACCAAGCAGGATAGACTTGTAGTCAGAGAGGTCCAGAGTTTCATTTGGTTCCATCTCACTAACACTGGGATTACAGTGTACACTGCCATGCCTGGCTTTATGTGGGTGCTGGGAACTGAATTTACTGGGGTCCTCCAGCTTGTATGTCAAATGAGCCATCTCCCTGCCCCTTTATTCATTTGTTTGTTTATTCATTTATTCAGGCACGATCTCCCCTTAGAACACAGGCTGGCCTTGAATTCAGGTGCTCCTGTCCCTGCCTCTCAAGCTCTTTAGTCCGTTAGTCTAGAGTAATTTAGTGACCTGGAATGGAAAGAACTATAACAATTCAAAATAAGTCACCTTCTTTCCGTCTAAGAGACCATTTTTTTTCCTTTTGGGTGGGCAAGTGACAGGGGAGGGTTCTCATGGAGGACAATGGGAAGGTATTTGGGGGAAAGGGCTGCAGAAGAGCCGGCAGGTAGAGGTGCAGTGTGCACTAGGCACCACCCAGACCCTTGCCCCAGGACAGGAGACTACCCGTGCCACAGGCCACAGCCCCACTCACTCCCTGAGTTACTATCTTCAGAAAGCCATGGCCTTCCTGGATGCAGCCTCTGACATGAGGACATGGGGACATGAAGACTAAGCATTCCCTCAACTCAGGACATCAGCGGTCGCCACCGCAGCTTCTGTGCTTCCCATCTAGCTGCTGAGGCCACCTCTGCCACCTCCGCGTGGGGACGGAAGGCTCCAGGCATCCTCCCTCAGAGCTACCTTAGAGACCCCACACTCAGATCACATGGACTGGGCAGATGGGGAGCCAGAAGAGGCACTCAGACCCAGGAGACCATGAGAGCCTGTGGCCCACTAAGGTGGTGAGGGAGGGGCCCGGCTAGGCTGGGGCAAACTGGGAACTGGAGATGTGAGGCTGCTTCTGAAGAAGCAGGGTAGGGTCACAGCTCTTGTCTTTAGGAGATGAACTGAAAGCAAGTGACCCAGCAGCAGGGAGGGCAAGAAAGAGCAGGAAGCCGGGCAGCCGGAGCATGCAGAGAGCCTGTTAACAGGGCCCTGGGGGATGAAGGCGGATCGCAGACAGCCATGACCCAGGATTCAGCTTCCTTAGATAATGAAGGACTGACATGGATGTGAGTGAACTCAGAGGAACTGTCTGAAAGGAAGAGGAGAGGCCCGGGAGTCGGAACGAGATCTACTCAGGGAGGCATGCTGGCTGCTGCAGCGTCGTGTGTTTCAATGTGTGAAATTAGCAACACTTCATAATCTGCCTAAAATCATGGTTCCAGAGAACCTGGACTTTGGGTCTTGTGAATCCCTCACCACACACACACACACACACACACACACACACACACACACACACACACCCTGCTTTGCTTTGTGTAAAGCTGAGCTATTGCTAAGGTCCGGAACAGCTCTACCCACTGAGGCTGTAGCAGCCTGAGGCCACCAGGCTCCCATATCCAGATCCCCAATCAGCATATAGATGGCCTGGGTACAAAATGCCACAGTGCCCCTCTGCTAGTGCAAAGTGCAAAGAGGCCCCTGCCAGGCACCTGGGACAGGTACTCACACAGCCCATAGAAGATGCCTGGCTCCGGTGTGGTGACTTCAGAGACAGGGGGACTGGCTTGTAGCTCTAGCTCTGGTACCTGCAGGATGGTTAGGGAGAAGTAGGGAGAAGAAGAGAGGTTTTAGTGGTACTCATTTGTTCCTTTCCCAGATTCATTGCCCACTCCGTGCCCAGGAAATCCCTGGGTCTGTTTTGTATGCCTTGTCTTCCTATGACTATGATGGGGTACGTGCGTGTCTAGAGCCTGGGACTACATCCCTACCACAGCTCTTCCTGGCAGCTGAGGGGTGATGCTACACCAGGGTATTCAGACTTTCTCAAAGTCTCTCGTGGACCATATGCTTGTTGAGTGAAAGGGAAGGAAGAAGGGAGAAAAGGATGGAGGGTGGGGGAGGAGGAAGGTGGAGAGAGGGAGGGACTCGGGGAAGGAGTGAGACAAGGAATCAGGGATGGAGGGGAAGAAGGGAGGAGGAAAGATGGAGGAAGAGAGCGGGAAGGATGGACAGTGAAGGAGAAAAGGAGAGGGGAATAGGGAAGAGGCAGAGATGGGGGAGAAGAGAGGGGCAAGGAAAGGAAGAGGAAGAAGAATGGTGGAGGAGGGAAGGGAGACAGGGAGAGAGGAGCAAGAAAGCGGAGGGGAAGGGAGATAGAAAAGAGGTTGAAAGAAGGGAGGGAGGAAAAGGGGAGAAAGGGAGCCTTAAACCATAGCAAGTGGGCCCTCACCGTGGCTGTTTAGAACTGTCATCTAAGGGGTGAGCTCAAAGCCTGTAGTGTGAGAGTTTCCAGTTGACGCCCATGGGCAACCAGAACGAACAGTACTGTCTACTGACAGGTCACGGTGGGCTGCTGCACTCTGCTTGAAGTCTCCATATAAGATTAATTACTTTTTATTTAATATTAATTCTCCTGGGCAAAGAAGCCTTCAGTTCTTTAGATAGGAATGGTGGAGGGCAAAAGGAAGCAAGATGTTTGACCCCTCTGGCCTTGCAGGTCAGGTCCATTAGCAGGTCCCCCTGGGCCTTGACATTTGGGAACCACTGGAAGATAAAGGACTTTAGGATCAACTCCATGGAGACCCATGGTCGAAGACAGACTATGCCATGCTTTGTGGCCCAGGGAAGGTTTGGGACATTTCAATTAATTGCCTCTTTAGAATTGAGATAGTTTAAAACCCAGATTTCTGGCTTCTCTTGCAAAGAGGACAGGAAGCAGTGGGTGATGAGCTGTCCGGGCAGAGTTGCAGGCCCTTCTCAGGCTCCCACTCATTGCCCTCGTACCCATGCCTGCCTGGCCCTGCTGCTGTGGCCCCACGGCACTGGGAGGTAGTCTGCATGCCAGCTACTGCTTTCCTTACACACTTCTGTGGGCCAGCCTGTCTCCTGGGGCTTCTGCTTGTCCCATCTTCTTCTCACACCTCTTTCTCTACATTACAAGACCCTCCCCTGAGACCCTGGGACCTCTCCATTTTCATCAGTGGACCCTGACATGGGCTCACTCTTGCCCGTTTTTTTTTTTTTTTTTTTTTTTTCCAGCATTACGCATTCAGATTCTGGCTTTGATACCTTCACGATATACCCTCAGTTAAGGCACTTAATTCATGCCCTCAGCAGGAATACAACAGTCCCTACTTAAGGGTCATCATGGGGCCGGGCTTGCAAAGCCTATATCACTAGTGAGCTTGGGTTAGGTCATGTGCTCAGGCATCCATAGTTATGCTCACTGTTTTATGTTTATAAGGTTCTGGGGTAGAACCTGGGCCTAAAGCATGCCAGGCAAGTACTTTTCTGACCAATGACATCTACAACCTTCTTTGCACTTTTTCAGACAGAGTTTCTCTAACTTGGACAGGCCAGTCTTGAATTCATTCTATACCTGACTTGCCTTGGACCTGTGAATGGCTGGCTTCCAGGCCTGTACGAACAGGCTCAGCTTTGGCCATTGTTTCAATTGCAAGGCTGCCTCCTGCAGGCATGTCTATTCTACTCACAATGGTGAGTGATCAGAAGCTGCCTCAAGCACACCCATCTCCTCACAGGGCTGCCAACCTCTATATTACACACACACACACACACACACACACACACACACACACACACACACACACACAGCTCTGATCCCAACATCCAGACTGTATTTCCTGGCTTCGATGAAAATTTGAATCCTTACTTCACTTTGGTTTAAAAAAATACTAGATAATTAGAGAATGAAACATGAAATACTGAATAGAAAATGAAATAGAAAAATGAGGACTGTCAAGGCAGCAGCCTCAGCAGGGGAAAGGATATCTGTTTACTCTCCCTTCCTGCTCTGAGTTAGGAGCATCAGTCCACTTAGGAGCTGTCCTATAACTTCCTGCTGAGGCAGGAAGACAATGGATTCAAGGCCAGACTGTGCTGCATGCTGAGACCTTGCCCTGAACAACAAAGGGAATCCATTTAGGGGTACTCCAGCCCCACTCCAACCCTACCTGGTCCTGGGCACTCAAGCCGGCCTGTGTGAAAGGCCGCTCGTCCTGACCTTCACTGTCCGCAGTGCTAGGCCTCCTTAGTGCCTCTTCAGGCTGAAAGCCACACAGGCTCTCAGCATCCATGTCAAATGTCTCATCCAAGCAGAATATGGCCTCCAGGATGTCCTCATCCGTGGTGAAAAGGATAGTGTCTCCAAAGTGCTCAGGGGCTGGGCATATCACCAAGAAGAGAGAAGGTTCAGCTGGCCCCAGGCCCCAGTGGTCTGCCATCCAGAACATGTTCTGGTGTCCCAACACTCTGTGACTACAAGCAGCTGACTGTTCCTGGTATGCGCCAACACCTCAGTCCCCATATTTCACCAAGCCGAGAGCCACAATGATCTACTGCTGGGACCTCATGGAATGAGAATCCTTGTCATCTGTCACCAAACAAGTCCCTGTTGAGAGGCACTAGGTGTCCAACCTAGACCATTTAGCCTACTTCTGCCTTGCTGGGGATGTGACCCCAGGGACTTGCACATGCTACATAAGAGATCTATGACCGACCTATAGCCACAGAATCTGCTTGCTTTAAATCTTGAGACAGCCTTGCTAAGAGACCCAGACTGCCCATGAACTCAGTCTACAGCCCACACGGGCAGGAGCCTTTGGAAAAGTGGGATTTCAAACAGTGTGTATGGGGTAGTGGGTAGTCTCAGGGTGATTTTATCATCCATGCATAACCCTAGTGCTGGGACTACAGCTATACACTGCCTGGCTTCTTGCAGGCCCTTTTATAAAGCACCCCCCCCAGAAGGTATGGGTATTCTGCTCCCAACCATGGGATTTGGGCTCCAGTGACTGGCTGGCCCACGGGCTCCCTAAACACCCTACCCCTCTGACTTAAGGCAAGAAAGATGCTACAATTCATGACTTGGACTTGCAGAAAAGCCCCTTCTCCAGTTTAGGATCCTGGTCTCTAGACAGACACTTAGTGTTAGGAGCCCAGCTCTGGCCTACCCATGCTGGAGGAGGTGAGGGGTGCACCATGTCTGTGAAGAGGACTTTATCTATCCTGGGCTAGCTCATGGGTTTCCCCTCCATATCTCAGTGAGCAGCAAACAAGGACTTCTAGAATATCCCCACAGATATACTGTACCTCCCATCAGGGTTCCTGAGGCTTTGGCAATTTCTCCTTCAAAGATGCACTGCGTATCCAACAGCATGGTGATGTCCTTCACACCACGGAAGGAGTGTATTCGAGACTTATTGTAATTCCAAATCCTAATCAGGGCAACTTGGCAAGGGTGTGTGAACTCGATGGAGATGGAGTGGGTCATGCCTGGTGTGAAGGGGGCCAGCCAGACATGCATGTCATCCTGGGTCCTGTTCACCCCATCGATGAGGTTGGAAACTACACGTGGGTCTTTCCCGTAAGCTGGTAAAATATTGATGTCAGGGGGATCTGCTGTAATGCTGGAGATCTGTACTGGCTCCCCTGTAGAGCTGAATATCTCTATGCCATTAAGGCCAACGTAGTGTCTGTCTCCCCATGTAGACTTGATGTCAATGACCAAGTGCTGTCCATAAGGGAGGACTGGGATTTTAAAGTCACTGTCACCATCTGTCTCTATGGAGGGCTCCGGCTCCTCCTTTCTGCAAGGGGCTGGGGGTTCCTCATACCGGCTGCTCCTCTGCTGCTTCAGGAACTCATCTAGGATGTCCCCCTGTGGCTCCAGGGCAGAGATGCGGCCCCGGTGGGCACGGTCAAAGGCAGTGAGAGAGTCCCATGATGCATGCAGTGCGTGTTCCTTCTCACCATACCACTGCAACCAAGGCAGTGTCCCGGTGGCCTGAGTGTCTTCTGAAAGAGAGAACAAGGAGGGGCTAGTACCTTGTTAGTGCCACACCCTGGAAACTGCCTCATGCAGTGGCTCTTAGCTGCCTTGGCTGGCATGGCCTGAGAGGCCCGCCCTTGTGACATCTGTGGGTCAAGGCTTCCAGAGTGGTCTGGGTGGAGCATGGCTTCCTGTCCCACATGGTCTTCAGTGTTGGCCTTGGAGGCTAGCCTCTCATTTCAGAAAAAGACAAGAAGTATTTTTAAAAGGCTTTGAACTTTCTAGGAGTACAACTATTACAAATCAGGAGAAGGGCTACAATTAGAACCTTGAGTGTTCTAATCTTGAAGGCGGGTATGCCATAGGCTTGTCCTCTGGACCATGGCACTACTGGGAGGGGGTGGGGCCATGTACCTGAAGGGGACTCTGGGACGTTAGTCCCTGTTCTTCCTTTCTTTGCTTTCCAGCTACCACGAGGTGAGCAGCTCCGTCACCACATGCTGCCACCACCATGGGCTGCCTCACTGCAGGCGCAAAGCAACATGGCCAAATAGTTCAGGCCTGGAGTCTCTGCAACTGTGAGCCACAATAAACCCATTCTCCTTGAAAGTTGTCTGTCTCAGGTACCATGATGACAGGAAGCTGACCCAGGAAGGCTATTTTAGTGTTAGAAACTACCAGAAGCTATCCCGCTTTGAAACTCACCTAGCCAGGGACACATCATGGCTCACAGGGTCTGAGCTGGTCACAGTGTGGGCTGCAATGGAGGCTGGCCCAGTCATGTGACTCTGACAGCACTACAAAGCATTATTTAACAGCAGAAAGAATGTTCAAGAACAAATGTTACATCTGCATAGCCCAGCACTTGTCTGGAGGTAGAAGGATCATAAGTTCAAGGCAGTCACCTTTGCCAAGTGTATTAAAGGGTAAGGCAGTTGTTTTCTCCCACGAATGGGACAAAGCCTGAGTCCTGAGCATGAGGACACAAAGCAGTCCTCCGAGGGATGCTCTGAAGCCACCTCTCAGAATCTACAAGCCCAGTGTGAACACTGTAGTGGCCCATCCTGGCAGCCAAGCACAGCCAATTACCGCCCAAAGGTGTCATTCTGAATACAGTGGCACACAGCACTGCCATTCTATGTTGCTTTCATACTGGGCAGCGCCTGCACTCCACTTCCTGCCTGCTTTCTGGGGGCTTGGTACCATCAATTATCTCCTCTCTCTAGAATCTTCCAACACCGCTTCCTCCAGTGCTTCCTGCTGCTCGCCCTGCCTGCAGACATGCATAAATCTCTGCTGCCTAGAAAAGGGAGGGTACCAGATCCTGTGGCTTACCCCCATCATGCCCTGTCCTCCCCTTTCCTGTGCAGACACCCTGCTTCCTGGTAATAGCAGCCTCTCAACCCCACCCCAAACACAGCCTTCCTTCTTTGGGGAACAAGCCTCAGCTTTCTGGAGACCATCCCACTTGTAGGCCTTGCACACTGAAGCTAAGGGAGCTCTCATTCCCCTGCCTGAGCCAGACTGATGGGATACAGGGTAGAATTGTGAGGGCCCATTTGACTACACAGTGGGGAACCTGCCTAAAAATGTTACCAACTTGGGAGCAGGAGCCAAAAGATACAGAGAAACCCTGATGGCCTTATCTGAGTTCCTGCATCCACCCGTTCCCAAGAGCAGACCCCTGGTGGCTTTTGCACTTTGGATGCCTAAGACACCTATGGTTCTCAGAATTCCCCACTGACGTGACTTTCCACAAGAGACAGCGACTTCTCAGTCTTCTGTCAGTCTTTACTTCACGCATGACATCCCAGACAAAGCTCTTGCATTTGACAGTCCCTGTCCCAGTGGTTTAGGAGACATACCACTTCAGCTTTCTATCTCCCTGGCCCAGAGAGGTAGCTAGCTTTTCTTCCTTCCTTCCTTCCTTCCTTCCTTCCTTCCTTCCTTCCTTCCTTCCTTCCTTCCTTCCTTCCTTCCTTCCTCCTCCTTTCTCTCCTCCTTTCCTTCTATCTATCTTTCTTTCTCCCTTTCTTCCTTTTTTTTTGAGATGGGGGTCTCACTACATAGCTCAGGCTGGCCTCAAACTTGTGATCTTCCTGCCCCAGCCTCCAGAATTTCAGGAGCACAGGTATGCCCACAACACCCAGCCTACCCACAGCTTCTTATCACAGTAGTGCCATCCTCTTGTTCAAATCCAGGAGTACCTGAGACTTGATCTTTGGTTCCATCTGGCCCTGTCCTAACCCAGTCATCACTCTCGGCCTCCGTGGGTCTCCCAGATCCCACACAGGCACTGCCCAACCTTACAGCGACTTCTGCAAGGGTCCCTCAGTTCCAGTCACCAGACCACTGGGTTCCTTGCTGGTGGCAGATAGGAAGAAGAGGACAGGACAGGCACAGGAGAACCCACAGGTGACAGCCTCCAGACTGACACGGGGGACTGAAAGCAAGAAGCTGGTGTCAACAGGCTTCCTGTTGTAGCAAACACTTCCTATGTATTCCTCTCACCTCATGCTGTCTCTACATGGTCTGGTCACTTCAACACCCTAAGCCATGAGCCTACAGCGGTTTGTCACATACCACTCTCATTGCCATGATCATTTCTTACACCAAGAGTAAAAACGACCCTGCTCACTGTCCACGGGGCTATGACGTGGCTTTTCTTAGTTCTACAACCTCCACCTCCCTCGGCGACACTGCCATTCTGCTCTGACCCACCAGATGTCTGTCCAAGGATGCATCAGGAGTCTTCTTCAGCGGGGCTTTGCCCTTCTGTGCCCTCTGCTGGGAGAGCTCTTCCTCCAGATGGTCACTTCCTTCCAGTGGCCCCTGCCACCTCATCCTTGCTCCCTGCTGTGCCCTAGTACCACACACACAGATAGCATGAGCTGCTAGAAATACCTAAGAAGTGTTTGCTGGGACAGGAAGCCTGTTGACATCAGCTTCTTGCTTCCATCCCCCACCCCCCCATCAGCCTGGAGGCTGTCACCTGTGGGTTCTCCCGTGCATGCCCTGTCCCCTTCTTCCTATCTGCCTCCAATAAAGAGCCCAGAAGTCCCACATTCTCTCCTCCAGGGGCTGGTGTGACAAGTGGCAGAAGGAGCTCTAGCATGGGCTGTCATCACTTGGGGCTCTGTGATCTGAATTCCTCTGACTGAAGCAATGGCGGGGTTGGCCCGCGAGCACGCCAGGAGACACTAAGCTCCACACATCAGGAACTTGGCTGGTGTGCCTCTGCCAGGGAGCAGGGACTTGGCATTCCTTCTGAGTCCTCCTTCCAGACTCCACTCTGAGTTGCATACTTGGTTCTAAAAGGAGAGGTGTAGACTTTCTCCTGGCCCTCTCGGGTGTGATGGCAGCTGGACATCCATGTGTCTCCCTGGTCTGTCTGTCTGTCTGCTGGGAACATGCTCTGTCTACTGCTTGGGACTAAGCTGAGGCTTGGCCTGTCACTGCTGACAATCCTATTCTAAATCTGCTAGACAAGAAGTTTCTTTTTTTTTTTTTTGTGGTTCTAAGGATGAAACCCACAGCCTTTGCACACATTAAACACTGTCTCATTAAGTCATGTCCCCAGCCCCAATCCTAAACCCAAGTGGGCAGCTGAAAGCAAGGGCGTCCATCTGCAGTCTATGCAGTCCAGAAGAACCCCTGATGATGACATGACAGGATCCAAGATGCCAAAGACGACTCCTGTGTGGAGTCAGTTATGAAGCTAGGCATTTATAAACTGCCCTCACATCTGCATCAGTGTTTACTAACACAAGAAACAAGAATGGGCAGGGCAAATACAAGACCTGCCTTTCTTCCAGTGAACCTGCTTCAGCTACTGCTGATTGGGCAAGGGCTGAACACCTGACCCAAGTCCACCAATCAGGCCCCCTAGGACTCTGGAACTGGCTGTAGGGTCCGGAGCCAGCACTCAGTCACTCAGGTCTGAGAGGCCTTTGGCTGCTTGGGAACAAACTAGTGAGGAAATAGAGGCCTGGTGGACTTGTGAGGAGAGTCAAGGGGACAGGGATAGGATGCTATTAGCCTTTGGTGTCAGAGTACCTGAGTTCTCCCTACTCCTCTTCACTGCTCACAGTAAAGGCTGATGAGACCCCATCTACCGGTGGCCAAGGAACCCCACTTCCAGAATGCAGATGGCGGTATAGTAAAATCTGGCTCCCTGCTGAGCCACACTGAAGACACAGTGGTGGAGTCACCATGGTAAGGGTAGAGCTCTGAAGCCACTGTGAGCTTACTCACCCTACTAGCATTCTGGTGGACTCAGCCAGCATGCTTCTTGGAGGCCCAGACATGGGCTTTGGCATTGGGTGATGAGTAATAACACGATTTCTAGACAACTTTCCTCGTTAGCAAAACCAGCTAACAAGCATTAAATCTCAAGGGCTCGATTCTTAATGTGTCACTGAGCCAAGCAGGGAAATGTCTGGCAAGAAACTAAAGTGAGATCGAGGCCTCTGAAGTTGGACAGTTGGACTGTTGCCTGTCACCAAGAACTTCCTGCAGCTCCTCATCTGCTTAGAGCCTGGCTGACCATTCAGTGAGCCCTGGCAGCTATGCTAATCAGCCCCAGGAGTACTGGCTCCAAGCACAGACGGTAGGGCTGACCCACTATAGTTCAAGTTCTATACTAGCCCCACTGGCTGTGGGAAAGGAAAACCCGGGAAAGCTACTTAAACTTCACTTCTTTATCTGTAAGATGGGGCTGTCAAGAGGGTTCATAATCATTAAGGTTGGACCAGACCTTGGCAAAGAGCAAGCACACAGGGACCCAGGACCTGCAGCTGCTTGTCACCACTGTCCTGCCCCACAGCATGTCACTTGAGCCAGGCTTTCATACTCAGAAGGCTTCTCTTTCTGTCTGTGTTGTTTCCTTCAGTGTATGTGTATAATTGTGGGTGCATGTGTGTGCATGTATACATAGATCCACATGTCTGTGGAGGCCGGAGGGCAACCCTTGGTCATCATCTTCAGGAGATGTCCACCTGCATTGAGACAAGTCTCTCACTAGCCTGGATATCATTATTTGGCTAGACTGGCTGGCTAGCAAGAGATCCTACTGTCTCTGCCTCCTCAGAGCTGGAATTAGGTGGGTTTTGGGGATCCAACTCAGATCCTCAAGTACTTTGTTTACCGCCCCCCCCCCCCCCCACACCTCTGACCATTTTAATGTGTTTCTTGAGGCAGGGTCTTTCTGTGTAGCAGGGGCCAGTCAGAGCTGGTGATACTCCTGCCTCAGTGCCCTGAGTGGAGAGGATCCAGGCTTAGTCCCACCATGCCCCTCTGAGGATTCCTGGTCTCTTTACTCATTCTCAGAGTCTAAATGAGAGGTGGGCATCAGCAAAGATGCAGAGGGCAGTCAGTGGTTAGGTAAGTCAGCCCTCAGAGTCTGACGTGACACATGAGGGTACAAGGAGACACTGTCACAGTGAACAGAGATGATTCACCAAGGACAAGCAGGGATTGCTGCGGCCACACCAACAAGAGGCAGAATCAGAGAACAGGTGACAGGCTGGGGAAGGGGACAGGAGCAGAGACCATCTGCTGGGCATGCTTCTCTGCCAGGTACTTGCCAAACACAGCCCACAAATCTCAAGTGACCATCTAGAATCTCTGTAGTGCAGCTCAAATCTGTCACAGATGAGGAAAGGGACGATCTGGAGAGGCTTTGTGGGAACAGGGTGGAAGGAGTTAACACTGAGGCTCAGTAGGTCTGTGAGGTGGTATGTGACACAAGCTGATGTCTCACTCATTGCTCACTGAACACTCCCCAGGTGCCAGGCTCTGTTGCTTCACTGAAGCCACTGTCCTGTCAGTTCCTCACATCTCCAACAGAGGCATGCCAACCCTATCTCATAGATGAATACATGAAGCTCAGCGAGCAGAGAGAGGCAAACAGCCAGATTTATGCAGACGACTTCACGATAAGGTACTCCACAACACAGGGACGGTCACTCTGGTGCCCTCTTAGACAGATGGATACAGAATGCCCCCACAGTCCCCTCCTTACTCAGGATGGTCATGCAGAGCACACCCTGAACCCCATTACGCATTCAGAATGTCCTTATAGATAACCCACAGCAAAGACTATGATGGTCTCAACCTGAACTCTGGCTTCTGTTTTATTTTCAATCCTGGGGGATGAGCCAAGGGCCCTGCATCACTGAGCTACAGTCCAGCCCTTCTACCTCTTTGTTTTGAGACAAAGTATCACTGAGTTGACCAGGCTGGCCTTGAACTCACGCTTTTGCCTAGGTAGGCCTTGGACTTGTAACTCTCCTGCCTTAGCCTCTGGAGTACTGGGATTATAGGCTTGAGCCATGAAACCTCGTGATTTCTTCTTGACACACACACAGTGGTTTCAAAATAATCACCATCAGTTGTTAACCCTACAAAGCAAGGCTTTATCTACTCTAGTTTGTACTGACAAAAGGAGACTGGCATACTAACCATGCATTCCTGAAGGCCAGCAACAAGACTGTGGAGGGGTGGCTGCCTCCTTCCAAAGGCCTTGGACCCTCTGGCCACCACCCCTACAATGTCCAGAAGTTCTTTCTATACCCAGGCTAGTGTCCGCTGTGTTCAGCAGTATCCTGGGGTTGTCTTCTAACAGAGTCAGGTAAGTTACTAGGGACTAATGTCTTTATCAAAGGTGAAGAATGAAGTCCAGGTTGGAAAAACCATGCATGGCAACAAAAATGGGCCAAGGGACAGATAGATCCTGGTGCCAGTGACAATCACATCTAGGAGTTTAACATGCAGAGTGCCCAGTTATCCCTCATTTGTACCACCCTCTGGCTGAGACAGTGGATTTGTGACTCCTCCTTGAGAAAAGCCCCCTTGGTTTATAGATAAGGAAACCAGGCTCCAGGGAAACAAATGGCTTCATGCCAACTGAAGCTTCTCGAAGCTTACCTTTGCTGGCTGGCTGGTCATCACCATGGCTACTGCTGGCATCCTTCTTCAGGGCCCTCCTCCCACTAGCAGGGCGGTCCCTGTTGGGAGGCTGGCTAAAGATGTCTAAGTCATTACCACAGGCTTTGGAGGATGCCCTCTGGGGTCTCTCTTCAGTGATGACACTCCAGTTGTTAGTCCTCCCTTGTTCACGTCGAGGGCCTTTTTCCCTGGCCTCCACCTCTCCAAGAGCATCACCAATGACATCATCAAATGGAAGCCTACTCTTCTGTTCCAGATCCTTTTCCGGACTGAGCCACGGGGGTTTGGGCTTCCTGCCTGCCTGTTTCTTGCCCACCTCTGCTAGAGAAGGCTGTAACCAGTGTGGGGTTTTCCCAGCAGGTTCAGGGATTCTCTTGCCTTTGAGATTTTCCAGCTGTTGGAGCAAAGAGGGCTCCTCTTCCAGAGGAGGATATTTTCCAAGAGAGGAAGAAGAAGGAACACTAGGCCCATCACCCATTGAGGCAGGGGCTGCCAACAGTCTGACATCTTCCTGTAACTTGGACAAACTATCCTTCGGGCAATGAGTAGAATTCACCTTTTCATCAAGGAAATCTCCTTGTGAGGAAACTGTCATATCCACCGAGGCTTCAGCTGGCTGTGAGCAGCTGTGCCCAAGCTCCTCGACCCCATTTATGCCAGCCATCCTGAGGGCACCTTTGCTTTCTTCCCAGCCAGCACTCAGGGCCTTCTCTGGGCTCTCATTCTTCTCACTCTGAAGGTCAACAGGGATGGTACAATCAAAAGGGGCTTTGCCTCCTCCTTTGTCTAACACGCCATCAAAGATGAGGCTTTTGTTGACATAGAGTTTCACGTTCTTGGCACCAATATCAAGATCCTGAATGCACAAAACGGAACAAAGGGAAACATGTGTCATCAGACTGATGTGTCAAACTGTGGAAGTGAAGATGCCCCCAAACAGAAATGCAATGCTAGAAATGTGAGCACTCGAGAGCTGAGCCAGCAGCTGTGAAACGGACTCCCCCTTCTTCTCTCCGTAAAGTGTCCATACTCTGGGAATCAAAGCACTTTCTCAAAGAGGCAGCCTCACTGCTGTCTTGGCTTTCATCGCTCCTGTCAGGACACTGGTAATGGCCCACTAATTGGTCTCGCAGCTTCCTGGTCTCTTGCTGCTTCAAGCTGGTTCACTTGCCACAAGAGTTCACCTCCTACAGGAGCAAAGATGCCCCACCACTCCCCTGCGACACCCTTCCCGGCTTTTCACAGCCGGTAGCAGCATTCTTTCAAGATTGGCTCCAGCTGGGTGTAGGGGTGTATGCCTGTCATCCTAGCACTTACAGGGACCCAGGACATAGTGAGTTTGAGGCCAGCATGTGCTACAAAGGGAGATTCTGTCTCAAAAACAAACAAACAAACAAACAAACAAACAAACAAACAAACAAAAACAAAACAAAAAAACCCCAAAATGAAAAACACACACACACAAAATAAATGTGTATTTTCAGGAAACTAAAAAATGAAGTGTGGTTTCTGAGACTTCTGCATCAAGGAGACCTGTTGTGCATGTTAAATGCATGCTCCTGGGACTCCCGGAGTGTCTCATATTGAGTATCTTGAAAGCAGAGCCCACGACAAGGACTGGCTGTAGACAGGAAGTGGGGAAAGTAACACAGGGTAGGAAGAAGCCACCAGAGTGCCTGAGCTCTTCACTGCTGAGGGCAGTTGGGGTTCCATCCTGCTGGGACTCTTCAATGAGTCCATGGCATGTACCTTGGAAATGCCCCCTCCCCCAAAGACAGAAGTAGTCCATTTGTGCACTGCTCGCTGAAGGTGGCCCCTGGGGCAACAATGCTCTCACACATCACAAGTCATGCATGTTTGCTCAGCAGACAGCCCAGCAAGCAGCTCAGGTGCAGCAATGCCAGCATGCCAGGGATCTACTCACTGCAGCTGCAGCTGCAGTCACGGAAAGACCCAGGGGATGTGGAACAGGTACCAAGGCCACAGCCTTGATAATGGCAGTTTCGAGGGAATCTTTCCCCTACTACCAAATTTTCTAGATGTTTCCATAGCACAAGGAAGTGGAGAGTGCAGGCCAGCATGACATATAGTGACCTTCAAAGAAAGGTCCCTGCCTCCTCATAACCCAAACACATGGCCTTGTTTCATGCATGTATCTGACGCTTATCTGTTCATGCTTAAAATAAGATCACCCCTCCCCAGCTACTGGTTACAGCCCCCCTCTCTGTGGTAGAACTCTTCCCAGACTTTATCAAGGAATATAATGCATACATCAAACAGTAAATACTTCTTTACACTACTCAGTAAGTCTTAACATGTACATCTCCCTGAAACAATCTCCACACTTAGGATGTGATCATCACCCCAAGTTCCTCTTCACACTTTAAAATCCCTCTCTTTCCCCAGACAACCACCCACCTTCTCTCATCACTACAGACTTTTACATTTGTGTGTGTGCGCGCGCGCGCGCGCGCGCACGCGTGTGTGTTGTCAGAGGACAACTTGGGGGAGACAGTTCTCTCCTTCCACTATGTGTATCTAGGAATAGAACTCAAGTCAGCAGGCTTGATAGCAAGTGTTTTCATCCTGTGAGCCACCTTAACAGCCCCCTTTTTATAAACTGACACTCACATTTTCTAGAATTTTGACATAGAGCTTACAGCGTGCAACCCTTTGCATCTGGCTTCTCTCACTTGGCCTGACTGAGATGCAGCTGGAGTATGAGCCTGTGGCTTTCTTCCTTTTGATTGCTGAGTAGTCTATCTGCAGAGGTGCCCCACACATTGCTATTACCTCTACAGTGAAATCAGCCACTGTCATTTCCATCAGGTTCCTCTCCCAACTCAGTGCAGAATCCACTGTGCACCCACAGCCAGAACAATGGCTTACCTCTGCTGTCTGGGTGATCACAGCAGAGCCCTTCCCTCAGCTATGACAGTGGTTTACAGGGCTGGCCCACATCCAAAGTTGCGGGATCTCTCACTCCCCTGTCATGGTTGGCTCAGCAGGACGAATAGGCAGCTCCTCCTCCTCCTTCATGATCTCTGTGGCTGGGCTTCCAGTGATGATGTGCCTGTGTTATTTGGCTTCTGCCTAGCTGGCTACTCCTCTGCCCAGCCTCCTTGGCTTATCTCCACTCCTGCAATCCCCACCAGCTCAGCTGGGCCTCAGTGACTAGGATGCCCTAGGTCCAAGGCTAGCTTTCTGAGTGTCTTGTACTCACTATGGCCCAAGGCTCTCAATGTCTCTCTGGTTCGAGGATGCCCATTTCCTGACTCTCTAGTCCTGACCTCTCCATTGGCCCCTAAGGGATGGATGCCTCTCCCACCCCTCTCCTCTTGGGAATCTTAACCTTTATGTGCCTCAGATCCATCAAATACTTAAAAAAGAAAACCAATAACAGACAAACAAAACACATAGGCATGTAGCCTAGGCTAGCCTTGAACATGGGTTCTGTCTGCCCTGGCTTCTAGGTGCTGGAGTCACAGTTCCCAACAGAGTTCTCCATCATGTCCCCCAAGCTGAACCTCTCCCCTGCTCAGTCAGCTTCCCAAATCCTAGGCAGTCCCTCTGATGACCCTGTCCCCGGCCCCACCACATCCAACCTGTCAGGAGTGCCTTCCTTCTTTCCTCTCCAATCTGACTTCATCTTCCACAGACACTGCTGCCCCAGTGTAGACCACTGCCATCTCTCCAGAGACACCAGATCAACTAATTGGTCTCTCTGCTCCTACTCTGCACTGTCACCCTGCACACACACTTCATTTCCCACACAGCAGCCAGACTCACTTAAAAACAACTTCAGTCAGAGCTCAGCAGCCTCCTGCCTAAACTACCCAGTGACTCCATGCTGTCAATCCCAACTAAACGTTAATAGTCCCAGGTCCCGGTTTGCCGGCCTCCGTATACTGCTCCTTGATGCCATAGATCATTTCTTTCTACCCATATAGTCCCAGGTCCCGGTTTGCTGGCCTCCATATCCTGCTCCTTGATGCCACAGCACACTTCCTTCTTGCCTTCAGAGACTCCCTAACACCAGGCTCTAAAGAACACTCCACCCATTCCCCTCTATACCCTGATGCTCTTGAGTTCCTCAGTCTCTGAAACGGTCTCTCTCATCAGCATTTCTGGAGGGTTAGGGGAAGGTTTTTGTTTTGTTTTATTTGTTTGAAGAAAGAGTCTCCCTATGTAGCCTAGGCCACTATTGATCTATTCACGATGTAGACCAGGCCAGTCTCAAGCTTATAGAGATCTGTCTGCCTCTGCGTCTCCAGTGAGGGATTAAAGGTGTGCTCCACCAGAGCTGACTAAGGGGGCTATTTCATTGCAGATAGGGTCCCAGACTTGAGATCTAGCATTCAAGTGCTGGGATTGCAAGCCTACACCTCCATGCCTGCTTGGCTGCTAATTTATCTCTCCTAACCAAAGTGAATTGCCAAGTCAGCAGAAGTCCTCCACAATTGCCCGAGGGTACAGCACATGGTAGGATCACAGCCATCACGAGGGAACTGACACATGACTAATCTGGACATTCTCCTAAGACCAAAGAGCAAGAAAGATGGCAGTTTGTGGCTTTTCCTCCCAGGCCACTCGTGCCCATCTTTGGCTTCTGATCTGTGTTTGACCAAGTGTGGATTCTGAGGCCCCAGAGCCCCCATTCTCCATGCCTTAGCCTCCCTGTAAGCCAAATCTGCGTGCTCTAACTAAATTCCTAGATCACCATGGACAGGTTTGCAGAGCAATGCAGAAGGAGAGCCATCAAACCCGTATCCCACCACAGGAGCTCAGCTTCAGTCATCCAATTGCAGGATGGCAGGCTACTCTTTGCTGGCTGTCAAAAAAGTCAATGTTCCAAGTGTGCTTTTACATGTTTATATGGATGTGCGCTCTGTTTAGAGGAGGCACAGAGCAAGCGTGTGCTGTGAATTAATCAGAACACAGCTCGTGGAGGAGGATGGCACTGGCAGCTTTCAATGGGCAGTTCTGAAAATTACCACCATGGAAACATCTGGGAGACAGAAACACTCATTTAAAGAGGTGGTAGAGTGTAGATGGGCTTCCCATCCAGACAGTGGTGGATAGGCAACCTAGCTTTTCTAATGGGATGTCTGGCCCCCAAAACATGTCTTACACAAGCAGTTGAGAGCCCCACTGGCCATAGATGTCCACTGCCCTGCATTCCCTCAAGAATTATGACTGTGGCAGAGGAAGGCATGTAAGGGACATAAGGGAAGTAAGGAAACAGTGAGCTCTGGGGGAGGCGGGGGTGTTCAAGAGCTGGTCGTGGCCATTGGGGAGGGAGGGCCCTGCCTGGCCTGCAGTTTGCATCTCTGATGTTTCCAGCAAAAACTACTGTGCCTGTGGGCAGATTTGGTGTGGGATATCTGGGTAGGAAACAGAAACAAAAGTCTACACTGTCCCACAGTCCCAGACACCCCATATGAAGGCATCAGAACTTTCCCTCCTCTCTGTATGTCTAGCTAGAGCTCAGTTCTGGCTATCACCAGCACAGACTGAACTACCCATGTGGATGGAACTCTGGGCCCCCAGTTTCTTAATTAAGTCCCCACATACCATCTCCTGTTCCCTAGAGGTAATGATCCTGGAACCTTGCAGTGGGTGTGCGTGTGCACACACATCCTTCCAGACTTTGTTCTACCTACAACCACCACTCAGCATCTGTGGGGGATTTACTGCAGGGTCCCCGTGGATACCAGCATTGTCTCATGCTGCAGTCCTGTGTATAAAACATCACAAATTTGCATATAACCTATGTACACTCTCCTGCTTCCTTCAAACCATCTCTAAATGACTTATAAAGCCTAATGCAATGTAAATGTTATGGAAATTGTTATG